TTGCGATTCGGTATATGGCCCTTGTGTAACACGATATGATAGTCAACGTCTTCAACGCATGCAAAATATTTGTATTAGATTAGTGTATAATTTAAAAAAAAGGCAAGGAGTGTCAGCTAAGCGATTTGAATTGTCTTGGCTATCTGTTCAGGAAGCGCGTTTTTTACACACCTGTTGTCTCTATCGAAAAATTGTCAATCTTAAAACTCCCCCCTACTTGTATAACAAAATAAGATTCAGGAGCGATGTACACAATATTAATATTCGCAGAAAGGATGATATCTCCATTCCTCGACATTCCACTGCTATGTTCAAAAGTTCATTTTCATATTTAATAGGCCGTATCTTGAATCTTATACCAATAGAGTTTAAAAAATTAAGTCATGTAACTTTTAAAAATAAGTTGAAATTTTTGTTACTTCGGGGACAGCTTTTGATCGATTTTAAAATATAAATATTAAATTGTGATTATTTGATTGATCTTTGTATATTTTTTATATTTATTGCTTGAAGCAACGTTCACTAATTTTCATTGAGCTTCGTCTACTAGACTAGGTAGGTATTTATGATGTCTTTGTTTGTTATTAATTACAATTTTCATTTTTTTTTATGTGTATCCATTATGTATTTATATATGTACTACATTTAAGGGGTGTTTATATTTAAACTATTAATTTTGACCGGGCGTATTGAAAACCATTTTAGTCTGTCTTCTGATAGGCTACGATGAATACGATTCCTTTTCAGTATAGTAGATAATCCTTGTATTTTTGTTAAAACTTCTTGTGTTTCACTATTTTATGTATATGGATTCTGCTTTCTGAATAAATATTATTATTATTATTATTATTATTAAATGTATTTAAAATGATCGGTTATTATTTTTTGGTAACTTAATTGGACCCAGTACTACAAATAAATTAGTTACAGAAGACCTGCAAATAAATATAGGTATTATAGCGGCTTTGTAGAAACATCTTACTATTAATGTTATTTGACTTTTTGGAGGTAATTATTTTTGTTTTTTATTTTTTAATTTTTGAATAGCTTCTAAGATGTAATCAGGTTCTCTTAATGACATTCCCCGATTATGTCTTGGATCTATCATTTCTGGCAACATACAGTTTATATAAAACTTTTTTAACTTCTTCTCCATATTTTTACTCCAGAAATCGTCTCTTTTTATTATATATTTAAGTGGATAATTGGGACCTGTCCATACACCAAAAATACATCCTTTTCGTCCTGTAATATGTAATTGGCCTTGTATTTGATAATACCCATTGATGGTGGATATTAATGTCAAAATTTAGGAATGATGACGAGTACCCGAGTACCCGGGTACCCGTTACGCCCACGGGTCCGGGTTATACATTTTGCTACCCGTTACCCGTTAGAACCCGTTGGAACCCGTTACGAACCGTTAGTCCGTTAAGGCCCCCTTAATAATTATTTAAGAATTTAAGACCCGTTAAACTCCTCTATCTTTTTTTATCTATAGAGCTTTAGACCTGCTTCATTTGTTTTTAATTCGGGGTAATAATTTGAAAATAAATATTTAATATCCATGAAGACACAAACGTAAATATAATATTCTACATCTATACAGTATACACAAAACAAACAAATCTAAGAAGTACCCTAGTTATGTTATTTGCATTCTGCATACACTCGATTCCTGTTAACAAAAAGTAGTTTTGTAGAAAATTCGGGATTTAAACGAGCTCTGTTTTTGGTAACGATTCGACCCGCGGCGGAAAAGTGACGCTCACTCGCAACTGAAGTAGCAGGTATTCCCAAATATCGTTTGGCTACAAAAAAAGCTGTAGCCGGAAATTTCTTTTCATTCACTTGCCACCACGAAATGGGATCGTCGCTCCTTTTAATTTTGTTTGCCGCAAGAAACCGCTCTTATTCATCATCCTGTATCTGCTCTTCACTCTCTGAACTAGAACCTAAATAAGCGAAAGTACATATTAAATTAGTAATTCAACTGCATTAATAATTAAAAATTACCAAATAATTCCTGAAGTTCTTTTTTGTTGGTCTTCATTTTTTCTTCACACCGCTGTTTTTCTTTCTACTCTTCCCCGACTTCTGCATTCTTGTATTCTGGGTCTAAATGTGGCTGTTCCCGATTTTTATTAGATTTAATTTCTTCGCGAATATCTGCATAAATTTTTTGACGCAACTCAAAAGTGACGAAAAAAAAATTGATATCTTTAAATCTCGGATCAACTGCCATGGCCTTTAGATATAGGTTATTACTTTCCTCAATTTTGTTTATAAAACGTGTATTTAATCCGGTTATTAAAGCATTTTTAAAGTCTTTTAAAACAGCGCTGTCGTCTTCAGAGTCGTTTGAAAATTTGTCAAAAAGTGCCACTACAATACTTAAAACATCCGATATGGTAACATGCTTTTCTCCACAAACTAATGTATTCGCGATTTTAAGAAGGTTAAGCGTAGGTAAATGTTTTTCCATAAGCGACCACATTTCGTCCTTCAGGTCTAAGTGCATTGCGGATCGTTTTGTTACGTTACTATCACCAAGTACAGCACGCACGGACCATCTAAATTAAACAGAAGAAAAAAATGTTTATTATAATTTTCATTTACTCTGTAAAGTTTAAACAAAATTTACCTCAATTTATGTAGTCTTTCCAGCAAGTGGTATATAGAATTCCATCGTGTTACACGGCCGTCCATATCAGTGAGTTTTTGCCTTTTAGGTGTAGAAAGGGATGAGCCCGAAGGCCCTGCGTTCTCGATGTCAACATCCTGCAGTTGAAGATTTTTGTGCTGCGATCGTAAATGTTTCATCATTGAGCTCGTCGATCCGTCATAATGCAAAGTACCGTCGCAATACTTGCACTGCACTTTAATTTCACTTTCGTGTTTGCCGACGAATGTATTTTTTGTGAAGTGATCCCACACCAAAGACCTTTTAGCCCGCACCATAATAAATTACGCAAATTCCATCGTGTTACACGGCCGTCCATATCAGTGAGTTTTTGCCTTTTAGGTGTAGAAAGGGATGAGCCCGAAGGCCCTGCGTTCTCGATGTCAACATCCTGCAGTTGAAGATTTTTGTGCTGCGATCGTAAATGTTTCATCATTGAGCTCGTCGATCCGTCATAATGCAAAGTACCGTCGCAATACTTGCACTGCACTTTAATTTCACTTTCGTGTTCGCCGACGAATGTATTTTTTGTGAAGTGATCCCACACCAAAGACCTTTTAGCCCGCACCATAATAAATTACGCAAATTAATATAACCGGCACAAATAATGCGACAAAACTGCCGAATAAGTAGCGAATGCGCTGGGCGTGCAACGTAAATCGTAAAAACTTCCTTCCCCTCACATTCCATTTCAGTTTTCTATTGCATGCTGGGCGAATGCATATTTGGTGGGAGGACCAATAATTTCACTTTCAGACATCAGCAGACAAATTCGTGGTGGTTTTTACGACGGAGTTTAACGGGTCTTAGCGGGTCTTAGCGGGTCTTAACGGGTCTCAACGGGTGTTAACGGGTCTCAACGAGCATTTGCAGCGTTAACGGGTACGTTAACGGGTAATGGGTAATACCCGGGTATTGAAGTCGGGTACCCGGGTACAAAAATTAACGGGTATCGGGATTCCTATCAAAATTACTGGTGTCTTTATTAAAAATCCAAAAGGGTAGTTTTTTCAATTTAATCGCCTCCGCATTTGATATGCAGCGTATGGACATTTTATTTCAAGCACTAATTCATCTTCTACAATGCCGTCTGGAGTAGCATCTACAAATTTTAAAATTATTATTTTGATTTAAAATGAACTATTTTGCAATATGTTATAGTTGAGATGTGAGTAAAAATGTGAACTGATCGTTACGTACCTAAAAATGGATATTTTTTGTCGATAAAAATTCCACAATCTTTAATCACTATATTTTCCTGCTCTTGAAGCTGCAAAAGTGCCGTTTTTCATACTTTTGGCCATGAGAAATATCAGCATTGACTGGTAGTTGGTAAATAATCCTTTTGACTAAAGGCTCACATAAAGTAGTAATTCATCTAGTACACACTGCTTTAAAGTGTGAGGCCGTAATCATTTTTCTACGAATTTCAAGCCGAACCCTGCTATCCGCCTGTGACATAGTTTGTTCCTAAATTACATTTCTCTTAACGTCAGATGAAGGGAATTCGTTTAAAAATTGAAGTTTTTTTACTTCATAAATATCTTGATCTAAATCCTTTTTGGTACAATTTTCTCCATAATCTAAATCAGTTTTATTGGTTTTTGCAGAATAACTTTATTTAATTTGTGGTTAGATTTTGATTTTATTGCTAATTGTCGCCTTTTTTTTTCAATTCAGTTACTAACATGGATTGGTTTGTACGGTTTAAAGTTTTTTTCAATTCTGAATTCCCTGATTTCGAATTATATGATACAACTGCTGCAAAACATTTACTTTGGTAAGAGCGCCCTCTGGAATAATTGATTCTTTTGCCACCTACAAACTTAGCGACTGTCGCATGAAATTGTTAAACAATATTACTATCAACATCATATAATAGACTTCTGCTGTGATCTGACAAAGGATGTATAATTTGTAGAAGTCTTGTAAAAAATTCAGGTTTAGATTTGAAATTGGTTATTTCGTTTTTGGTTTCATCTGTATGCTTTTGACAAAAATAAATATCGCAGTTTTTATGATCACCAAAAACGTGAAAACTTGTATTGTCTATGTCTTTCTTTAAAAGCAAAACGTTATTAATAGTGCTAAGACTATTTTCTTTTCTATAAGAAATTTTACTAAATACGTTCAAATCTTCAATTCACCGGTATAACTAAATAAATCGCCGATCCATTTCCTATGATAGGGGAAATGTGGCTCGACGACCCTTTCTTGGAATTTTGAAGGTAGGGGTATAATAGGAGTAATATGCCGACAAATTAGTTCTCATGAACGGAGCAATAACTCTTAAGGTAATTCAGGAATGCATACTTACCAACATCGTGTGATTTAGACGATTTTACTTGCTTTGGAACATCTTCTTCTACGGGAGGTAAAATATGCGCTGAATTTTGCTTGTCTAGCTTGTCTGATAAATTTGTAGCACTGCTTCTCTTCCGCTTAGTCAAATTATTTTCTTTCTAGAATATGCATACGAATGACCTATAGTTTTTGCAATAAATAGCGACTATTTCTCTGTAAAAGTTTTAGAACATTCTCGGAAAATTACTTTCCTTGTTGAATCAGTTGTATTAACTTTAAGAAGCTATATAAAATATACCAAGGACTTTTTCTTAGTGCTCAAAGACGAATCGGACTCCTTTTTGACCACGGTATCCTTTAAAGCCTTCTTCTCCATTTCTGTTTGCTCCAACATGTCCTTGAACATCTTAAATATCGTGGTGGCGTCCGCCACGGACATAACCTCAATTTCGGTGATCTCGTTTTGCAGGTACTCCTTGATGGTTTTGTTCAAATGCTTGACGCGTTCGCAGTTCAAATTCAAACTGAGGTCCTGGTTGAGCAGGACCGAATTTTGGATGCGTTCTCTTTCTAATTCGTCCACTTTGTTCTGAAAATTCGGCGACATCAAAAAGAAACTTAAAAATATATTTATTTAAAAGCGCAATGAAAGTGGCCTCAAGTGAGATCCTTAAGGAACTCTCGTAGTAACCAAGTAATGAAATAAAACAACTCTTAGTAATATGTAATTATTATAAGGGTAGATTTTTTGGTACCTGCAAAAATTTCAATTTGTGCTCTGGGCTAATTTCATATTCCAAATTTACAACTGTTGGTGTGTATCCTTTGACTACTTGACCAAATTTTAACATGGATGTTGTTAAACTGCAATCTGTTTTCAAAGTGGTTATGTGCCCGATAAATCTAAATCATGAGTCAAAACAGAAAAAACAATATTTAATTAAAACACTTTATAAAAATAAAAAAAAATTACTAAACTTCCAAAATTTCTACAAAAAATTGTACGCAAAAAAAAACAAACAAAACTTACCTCAACGAGCTTTGCTTCTTAATATCACTCCCAAGAAAAAATATAAATGGGTTACTTCTGCTTTTAAAATTGATCATTTCATTGGAGCATTGACACAATGCTATAAAAAACTGTTCCATGTAGGATTTATTCAAGTTTGCATCGCCTACTTTCCAGTTCGTTTTAAAAATGGCCGACAAGGACTTAGGAGTATCTAAACCGGCCATATCTACCAAATGTATCTACAAAATATATTGCTAAATAACATTTCTAATGATATCAGATTTTATATATTTTACAACAGGCGTAGATAACTTCACATCAACATTTTTATGCCAAACTCAATCAATGAATTATTATCACTGTTTTTGTGTATGCTATACTCGATATGGCCAGCACTAGTTGCGGGTACAGTAAACAAAGAACAGAGTCGGCTTCAGGCGATCTCACGACAGGTAGGTAATAAATTTCTCAAAGCAAATACATCGTTGTCTTCAAGTTAGTGTATATATAATACATAATTTTGTAATCGTTCTTAATAAGTAAATTAAATCAATGTACCATTCATAAGTGTTTGATTTCCACGGACAAGAAATTTTTCTACAAGGTGCCTACAGTTCAAATGCTTTGTCTGACTTTAATATCTCTACAATATTCTTTCCAAAATGAAAAACCATCGATATCTGCTTTTTCTATCATATTTTTCACATTTGTGTTTAAAGACGGATATATAAGGTGCCTACGATGCATATTTTCGATGGTAGATATCTGGTAATACTTTTGTTACATTTGCATTTGTTTTGATGCGTCTATTTCTATTCCCTCCAAGCCTAGCAAGTTGGTCTTGCAGCATATATAAATAGCTGTCGGTTTTATTTGATGACCCAAGTGAAAGTATTCCAGATTTTGATTTCGCAAAGAAACTTTGATATTTTGCTATTCTCCAAACCGTCTTGCAAATATTTTCCCAACTTTTTACCATTTCTTCGTTGATTGGTTTTTCAGAGAGAAGTGTTGCTTTTGGGATCCGCTCCCAAAATATCCTGATACGGAATTTGATCCTTGCTATTCGAACGTCTATGTTCTGGTGAATGTTTAATGTATATGTTACGGTTAAAGTGTTTACTTGGCTAGTTTATAGACTAGCTGGATAGTATAAAAACTATCCAAATGTCTGGCTATTTTGATGGAAAATATTATTTCTACTAAAATGGCTATGCATATTGGTTGGTTTGTATATCATCCATCTAGTTTACAAACTATACAAGATTTATAGCCAAAGTACAAACCACAAGCAAAGTAAACAAAGTAACCGGTGTTTTTGGCTAGTTTACAAACTATTCAAACTATTTGGATAAGGTGTGAACTTGATATTCGTAGTAATATATAATAACCAACTCGTCGGATAGTATGCAAACTGACCAATCCCCTTTGGTTAATTTATTAGAAAAGTAAAGGTTATGTTTATGGTAAGTGCTGTTTACTGTGTCTAAGGGGTGTCTTGCAAAGTTTGTTTAAGTTGAATCAATAGCAACAATTTGAAAAACTAATTTTGGAAGTGATTATAGTGATGTAGTGCATGAACTTAGTATTTTTATGTCACTTTTACTCATTTTTTAATAGTAAGGGAGGGTGGGGGAATTGTGCACACTTAAGTGAAAATCGTTATAGCACTGATAGCATTGTAGATAATTTAAATGTAAATACCGTAATAGGGATGCTATTTAGTGTACTCTCAGCACGTAAATCGATTTTAGGAAAAAATAAAATAAGTACAATAGGTACTACTGAAAGTACAAAAGTGCTCTTGCGCACCATTCCCCTCCGTTGCGGGTAATGGTGCGCAAGTGTTGGGGAATCGTGCGCATTAAAAGTATTAAGTACAAGATAAAACCAACACTAACTTTAAAAACATTTATTGAAGTTGTGGAACATAAAAAAAACATTATACTAACTCCTAATTTGAGCGTAGGTCATATTTATCATTTTTCAGGGTATTTGATCCAGTACATTCGGCATGGTTCCAAGTCGAGCAAAGGACACATCTGTACCATAATTCTCGTTGTTTGCCAAATTCACCGCAAATACCACAAACTTCGGTTAGTTTCCCTGGCTAATTCAAAGGTGGCGGTACGAAACTCTGCCCAACATCATCTTCAATATCATCCAGCTCATCGTCGTCACAAATATCTGACACATCATCTTCTGATGAATCAGATGATTTAGACGTTGGCGGTCTCTTTTGGTTGCTTTTGAATTTCTTTGAAGACGACGGAATTGATAATTCACCGTCCAAACATTTACGAATAACTCCTTTACTGTTCTTATCTTTCAGTTTTTCTTTGTTGTCTTTTTTTCTCTTCAGCTTCTTCTAGTTTTGTTTTGATGGGAGTTCTCGTAAGAATTTCCGATTTCTGTTCGTTCCTAGATTTTCTTTTCGTTGCCTGGTTAACTTTTGCATAGCAACAGTAGGCATAGCATGCCTCTGAAAGTGACCCAGCCACTGAAGAAAAAGTCCGGAATTGGTCTAACCGTTCTAAGAACATTTGTACAATACCCCAATTGGTCCATTTTTCTCGAGAGTTTTGGGCATCCTTTTCCTAGGATATATTATCATGGGAGGGATGTAGTTCCCAGCCGCATTCATACAAAATACAGCTGTTATTGTTCTTCCTCTTTCGGTAGAAATTGCAGCTTCTACTTTTTTAGATCCCTTACGTCCATAAACTTTAGGGCATTTGTTCTACACCGTGGTGATGCCTGGTTTTCCTTGTATAATTTCTCGGCATCTGAAAAAAAATATTTAAAATCAGATTACGTGTGGGGTAATGGTGTGCATCAGCGCACATCATTACCCCTTTAGACATTAAATGACAATCTGTAATACAGTTAGCAAACTACATAACCTAACAATGTAAAACAAGCAACAATAGATGCAGAAGATCATACTTTTTACAAAAAGTGGACTCACCGTTTTATTTTCCGATGTCAAAAAATTACAGAAACTGGCTGGATTTCAAATAAACAAGGCTCGTTCCGTGCAAACGTAAACAACGATGTGAGTAATGGCGTCAGTGATGCACAGTAGAAAGGAGAGAGCGCAGCACTAGTCGGTGGCGCTTAAAAGCCCGCGAAATATAAAATAGTTTGATGCGCACGATTACCCGACGTGCGCGATTCCCCCACTCTCCCTTAATAGTAATGGTATGTTGTACCTATAAATAAACTTTTTTTTTGACTATCCTAATCTAAATTAACCAAAGAGAATTGGTCAGTTTACGACACAAAAATTGGTAATGAGTAATTTAGGCAGGCAGCGATAGAGAATAATATAAAATTTTAAATGTGAACATGTGGGTCAGCGGCGTAACATAGGTATAGTATATGGTTATCTTTATTTCCACTAACAAGGATGTGAAGCATAATTCATCAGTTGTTACAATATTCTTACCTTTCCAGTTATCTGTTGTTGATTACTACATTCCATATCTTTCGTTGTTACGTAAAAAGTTAAAACACTAGAATTCATATGCGATAAATAGTTTTTAACTTTTTTTGTTTCCTTTCTTCCTTCCCCTGTAAAAAAAAATGGTTTTATTTTATAGTACATACTATAAAATGTGATCTTCTCTGGTGCTTCTCTCTACTGAATGTATAAAAAATACCTGCGTATAGTTGCTCCAATGCCCCTAACTCTGTTTTAATTTTAACTCTGACCAATTTTTGAGGCAGTTTCCAAGGATCGTCCAACTGATTGGGATAATCTTTGAGCAAATCGAAGACCTCATTCCTAGAGAACTCCACGTAAGACATCTTGATGCACATTCTCTTGTGTTTCTGTAAGGATTTTTTTACTTGTAGCAAACCCTTTATTATTCTTGGTGCCAGACCGTAATCCTTAAATTGATAAAGACGTTTAAGGGTCTGTATAATCAGTAAGTAGTTAATTCAACTTTACTTAGAGGTGAAAGAACTATCCATAAATGTGTTTAATGAATATGAAAGTAATAAAAAATGTTTTACTTCTTCAGTCATTTCTAGTCCAGCTATTGTTACTGATTTTCCTGTGCCGGTTTTACCAAAACTGACGATCGCGGCATTTTGGCCATATTCTAACCTAGAATATCATAGAAAATGGATAACGTTATTCTAGAGAGACGCCACACCACTGACCTTCATATTAACATGAAGGTCGGTAAACCACTCGCGATTGGGTATAGTCTATTATTTTTATGTATGAGAGAGTAATAAAACAGCATTTCTAATGCAAAACTTAGTACGGTCATTTTAAATATTTTTACAGAATAATCTAAATATTTCCTAAAGTTGTAATAAATGTACCTGAGCTATTACAAGTTTTGGGTCTTTTATTGGTCCTTTATAAACATAAGCTGTACAGAACAATAGAAAAAGGTTTGGACAGGCCAAAAGCCCTGTATATTAAAGATTACATAGCCGTATCTTAAGATTATTTTCAATAAGTACTACCTATTTGCCAATTTTGTTTTATTTTAATTCCAAGAATTTCTTACAGTAATCCAGTAATCGAATTATAAGTAGATAAATACCTTCCCAACAAATTTCACCGAAAATGCGATTATAGGTTTTCCATTTAGTAAGGAGGTCCAAGTTATGTATTCTTGACAGTTTACTAAATGTCGTTTAGTTGCTACTTGCAAGGTGCAGTGTGAATTCTAGTGTGATCATGGAAAATTTGGAAGGGACGCGTAAACGACAAAAAATCGGTCCTTTAACAGTTAATGAAAAAACATTAATATGTAATTGTTTTAAATCATTTACAGACAAACATTTATGTAAAAGTGTTGATGACACAGTGGAATTAGTTAGTAGTACGCTTGGTGTTGGGAAATCTACGATTTACAGAGTTGTTAAAGAAGAGAAATGTGGCGAGTTTCAAAACAGCACGTGAAGCTCCAGGAAAACCAAAATTTCAATTAGAAAATCTTTTGAAAGAAAGACTTTGAAGGAAAGTGCATGCGTTCTTCTTTAGAAAAGAATTTCCGACAGTAGACAAAGTTCTTGCCACGGTTCGAGATGATAAGGATTACCCTGAAATGAGTCGAAGCACACTATGGAAACTTTTAAAAGAAATAGGTTTTCTATGGAAAAAGCATTCCAGAAAGTCTATTTTAATAGAAAGAAGCAATATTGTAGTATGGAGAAGAAATTACCTAAGGACTATAAAAGAAATGAGAAACCAAAGAAGAAATATATTTTATTTAGATGAAACATGGATCAACGAGGGACATAAACCAAATAAATTTTGGCAAGATGAAACTGTTACAAGTCGAAGACAGGCTTTTTTAAATAATTTATCTACTGGTTTAAATCCACCATCAGGAAAGGGGCGCAGACTAATAATAGTACACATCGGTAGTTCAAACGGTTTTGTTAAAGGTGGTTTATTGACTTTTGAATCTACTCGTACCGGTGACTACCATGAGGACATGAATGCTGATGTCTTTAAAGAGTGGTTTGAACAAATTATAGATCTTCTTCCTCAGAACTGTATAATAGTAATGGATAATGCAAGTTATCACTCGAGACTTATAGAAAAAATGCCCACAACCAAGTGGTTAAAAAAAGATTTACAGAATTGGCTAAATTCAAAGAATATTAAGTTCCATCCCGGTTCTGTGAGAAAAGAACTGTATCATTTGTGTTCCCTTCATAAAGAGAAATTCAAATAATATGAAATTGATGAAATTGCAAAAAATCGTGGGATGACGGTGGTTAGATCACCACCATATCATTGCGAAGTAAACCCGATTGAACTGATATGGGCACAGATAAAGGGAGAAGTTTCAAGAAAAAATTATTCTTTTAAAATGAGTGATGTTAAACGGTTGTTTTTGGAGGCTCTAAATAATGTGAAACCTGAAAACTGGGAAAAGGCAGTAAATCATACGATTAAAGAAGAAGAGAAAATGTGGAAGTTGGACAATATTACTGATGAAATGATCGAGCCACTCATTGTAAATATTGGTTGCGACAGTTCATCTTCTGATTTCGATTCTGATTTGGATTTGTAGGTAAGAAGTAGTTTTTATATTAAAATTATCATTTATGAACGTAACGTTGTTTAAAAGTCAAAGTTTAAACCCTTATACCTACATAACCCGTTTGACACAATGTTCTTAACATACCTTGTGGAAAAATAAAACATTTTAGAAAAAATTGCACTTTTTTACCTTCAGCTGTTTAGAAGTTATAAGCAGGTTAATTAGGTGAAAATATAAGTGTATAATCGAGGAATAACTTCAAAAAATATTTTAACTGTCTACTAAAAGAAGTAGTACGCCTATGGATTACGAACGCTTTATTATTTTAATACTCTCTCATACATAAAAATAGACTATAATTTTTGAATATTACACTCTTTCTCTTTTTGAATTCAAACGGTTTTATGAACAGAGCAAGATGCATTCTTTAACAGCTAAAATTTATAATTTGTGCAATGTTATGATTTTTTAATGGTATAGGACGACAGACTAACACCAAAAGTGACATGAAATTTAACGAATAGGTACTATTTTTAGATGTAATGTATTTATTGATGATTCTCTGGCGCGTGCTTATACCAGATAAATCTTATTTTGTAAAGAATATTTTCTCTTTTTCGTACAAAGAAATTTGATTAAACAATTTAATATGGCACATGAAATATATTTAAAAATGGTTATAACTAACAAAATTATACCCAATACTACAAACAAATTATAATTACCTGCAAAGAAATAGTATTTAGCTAGATTAAAATGAAAACAGTATTAGAAATACTTTGGGAATAAAACCACTAGTTTTTATTCATTTTTGTCGTATTCTTTAAATAACAATTGATGTAGACAATGTACGTAACTTTAATGGCCTCTGTTTTAAATATATATAATCGAAAGGTTTGTTAAGACGTACTTACTTTTCCAATAAATCTCCCACAACTTCCTCATAAACATGAGCCTGCTTGCAATTATTAAAAACCCCGTCAGTTTCGAACTCCCAATAATTTCCGTCGGGTCTAAGGGATATCGTTTTCTTGACGTACACTTTTGAGTTTCGTTTTAGTTTTACCACATCGAACTTGGGATGTCTTACGGGATATATTCGGAAATAGACCCTTACGAGACTGTTTCCTAACTGTGAAGAGTTACTGTGTTCTGTATTCATATCAAAGTTTTGTTTCGATCAAAATAAGCCTGACAGATTTTAGAAGTCTGACAAGATGTTTAAGAAAAATATGGCCTAAAGTAAATACCAATTACGAACTATACAGGGTGTAACAATATAATAATAATTGAGTCAGTTAAAGTTATAGGTGATGAAAATAAAAAATAGTCCTTAAACTTACGATATGTATTTACTATTGAGACCTTAAATCTCACGCCACTGTTCATCTTCTTATGAGGAGAAACCAATAATCTAAGCAAATAAAAATGGAATACTTTATGATATATTCAAAATCATTTACAAATTTGAAAGAAATGTTCAAATACCAGCTTGAGAATTCTGGAAACAGGGATCTCCATACAGCCAGATGCTGCTCTTAAATAACTTTGTATATATTTTCGGCCATGTATATTTTATTTATCATCCGTTTTAGACTAATTTTAACACCGGTACATTTGAACTATTGGTAAAAAAATGGTAATATGTTTTCTTAAAAAAATCCAAATTATCAGCAATATTTATTGATTTGTATGCGCTGGCCATTTAAACTACTGCTTTTGAATAACTGTACATATTTTCGGCCATTTTTACAGGGTGTACCAATAAAAACTCCCAGGCCGGATATTTTGGTAAGTAATAGAAATATTTTAATTCTGTAGAAGTCAGTTCGTAGAGCGCTAAGAGAGCTTCGGTTTTAGATATAAATTAATTTTAAATAAGTCAATATGTAGATGGCGCTGCGCTCAATAATTTTTTTTTTCGATGTAAGATCTTTCTTGTGTAGCGCATCTAGTAAAAATACATTTTTAAGCAGATTTTGTTCTATGAACTAATTCGATAAATCTAGCCATTTTTGATATACAGAGTGGCTTACTCAAAACAGTTTCATCCTGTTTTTCAGCATTAATCATTGCATTTTAAGAAAATACTAAAACAGGTGGATTTTTATTCCAAATTAGAAACATTTTTACAATACAGACATCTGTCATGTGTCAACCCCCTCTCTTGCTTTTTTTCAACACCTTAATTTTAAATAGGTAATGTACCATGTATGGCACATCATTGAAAAGGTAATTTAAACAGTCATATTTCTGACTTCCCCATAAAATTACCCTTTCAATGATGTGCCGTACATGGTACATTCCTAATTTAAAATTAAGGGGTTGGAGAAGTGGAAGGGAGGGGGTTAACACCTGACAGATGTCTGTATTGTAAAAATGTGTTTAATTTGGAATAAAAATCGACCTGTTTTAGCATTTTCTAAAAATCCAAATATTAATGCCGAAAAACAAGATGAAACTGTTTTGAGTGACCCACTCTGTATAACAAAAAAGGCTATATTTATCGAATTAGTTCATAGAACAAAATCTGCTTTAAAATGCATTTTTTACCAGATGTGCTTCACAAGAAAGATCCTCCCATCGAAAAAAAATTATTGAGCGCGGCGCCATCTACATATTGACCTATTTAAAATTAATTTATATCTAAAACTGAAGTTCTTTTAGCGCTCTATGAACTGGCTTTTACAGAATTAAAATATCTCTATTACTTACCAAAATATCCGGCCTGGGAGTTTTTATTGGTACACCCTGTATTTCATTTATCATCCGTTGTTTTGTAATTTTATCAAAGGTAATTAATTTGAACTAACGGTTAAAAATTGTTAATCTATTTTTATTAAAAAAATCATAATTTTCAGCAATTACTGATTTTTATCCATGGTCTACTTGAACTACTGCTTTTAAATAACCTTGTATTTATTTTTGGCAGTGTGTATTTCATTTACCATCCCTTTTACAGTAATTTTGCCACCACAACTTTTGAACTACCGTTTAAAAATTGGTAATAAAATAAGTTCTTAAAAAAAATCCAAACTATCAGCAGTTATTGATTTGTATGCGTTGACTATTTGAACTACTGCTTTTAAATACCTTTGTACATATTTTCGGTCTTGTATGTTTATCATCCGTTTTAGAGTAATTTTAAAATAAACTAAGGGTTAAAAAATGGAAATATTTTTCTTAAAAAACCGAAATTATCATCAATTATTGATTTTTTATGCGTGGTTAAAAATTGGTAATTTATTTTTATTTAAAAAATCAAAATTTTCAGCAATTACTGATTTTTATCCGTGCTCTATTTGAACTACAGCTTTTAAATAACCTTGTATTAATTTTTGGCTGTGTATTTAATTTATTATCCGTTTTACAGTAATTTTACCACCGGAAATTTTGAACTATTGGTTAAAAAATTGGTTTTTAAACTCAAATTATCAGCAATTATTGATTTTTTATGCGTGGTATATTTGAACTACTGCTTTTAAATAACTTTGTACATATTTTCAGCTGTGTATGTTCAATTTATTATCAGTATTTTTTGTAATTTTATTACCCATACATGTGAACTACCTACTTGTTAAAAATTGGTAATAATTCAATTATTGATTTTTATGCGTCGACCATTAGAACTACCGCTTTTAAATTACTTTGTACTTATTTTCGGCCATGTATGTTTATCATCCGTTTTATATAGCAATTTTACAATCGTTACATTTGAACTATTGGTTAAAAATTGGGAATATATTTTTCTTAAAAAACCCAAATTATAGCAATTATTGATTTTTATACGTGGTCCATTTGAACTACTGCTTTTAAATAACCTTGTAAATGTTTTTGGTCTTGTATATTTCATTTATCAACCATTTTATAAAACTTTTACCAACGGTATTTTTGAACTACTGGTTAAAAAATGGTAATATATTTTTTTTAAATCAAATCATCAGCAATTATTGATTTTTATGCATGGTCCATTTGAACTGCTGCTTTTAAATAACTTTGTACATATTTTCGGCCGTGTATGTTTAATTTATTATCAGTATTTTTTGTAATTTTATTACCCATACATGTAAACTAACTACTGGTTAAAAATTGGTAATATTTCAATGATTGATTTTTATGCGTTGGCCATTAGAACTACCACTTTTAAATTACTTTGTACATATTTATGGTCGTCCATGTTTGTTTATCATCCGTTTTATATAGCAATTTTACAATCGCTACATTTGAACTATTGGTTAAAAATTGGGAATATATTTTTCTTAAAAAACCCAAATTTTAGCAATTATTGATTTTTATACGTGGTCCATTTGAACTACTGCTTTTAAATAACCTTGTAAATGTTTTTGGTCTTGTATATTTCATTTATCAACCATTTTATAAAACTTTTACCAACGGTACTTTTGAACTATTGGTTAAAAACGAAATATTTTTTTGTAAATCGAAATTATCAGCCATTGATTTATGTGTTGTCCATTTCAACTACTGCCTTTAAATAACATTATCCATTTTATTACCGGTACATTTGAACTACTGGATTAAAATGGTTAATATATTTTTCTTAAAAAATCCAGGTACATTTTATCTACTAATTTAATCGAAGACTTTTAACAGAAATAATTTATGCACATAAAAAAATGCAGATTGTAACTATTTTTCGTTTTGTAAAAATGATTCATTTAAACTACTTCAAATAAATTAAGGTACACTCGAACTATTAATTTAATAAATTCTTTTAACCGAAATTAGACACTTTTAAAAAACGAACATTGTTACTACCTATTTGTCGGTTTTTACAAATAATTGATTCATTTGAACTACCGCATATAAATCCAGGTACATTTGAACTACTAATTTATTCATTACTATTTGTCGGTTTTTGCAGTTATTAATTTTAACTATCGCATATAAATTCAGGGTACATTTGAACTAATAATTGAATTGTTTTAAGCGAGATATGTAGACACAAGTCCTTGAACTATCCTCTGAACTATCGCCAATAAATTAAGGTACATGTGAACTACATATTTAATAATTGTTTAAATCGATAATATAGAAGCGTTTAAAAACGCAGATGTTACAATTTGTCGGTTTTTAAGAATGATTCATTGGAACAAACGCAAATAAATCGAAGGTACATGTGAACTACTAATTTAATAAATATTTATACACGCCTAAAAACGCAAATCGCTGGTTCATTTGAACTACCATAAATAAATCGAGATAGATTTAAGCTATCGTAAATAAATCCAAATACATTTGAACTACTAATTTAATTAAGATTTGTAAGAGAAATATTTTTGCACACTAAAAACGCAGGTTGCTATTTGTCGTTTTTACTGGTGATTCATTTGAACTATCACAAAAATTAAGGTACTTTCGAATTACTGGTTAAAAACAGTTAATATATATTTTTTTGTAAATCAGTCATTGATTTATGTGTTGTCCATTTGAACTAATGTTTTTAAATAACTTTATCCATTTTATAGTAATTTTATCATCGGTACATTTGAACTACTGGTTAAAAATTAGTTATATTTTTCTTAAAAAATTCAAAATTTTTATGCGAGGTCCATTTGAACTACTGCTTTTAAATAAATTTGTACTTATTTTCGGCCGTTTATGTTTAATTTATCATCCGTTTTATAGTAATTTTATAACCGCTACATTTAAACTATTTTATTAATTAAATATTTCTATATAATTAAAAAAAAAGTTAATTAGTAGATTTTAGTATAATTATTCCTCGATTCAAATGAACTAATACTTTTCAATTACTTAATATTATTTTTGTGTATACATTTCTTATCAGTTTTATTGTAATTTTACGGTCTATTTGAACTACAGTTTAAAAATTAATTATATAATTTACTCTTAAAAACCCTAATTATCAGCAGTTATGGATTTTTATGGGTGGTCCATTTGAACTACTGCTTTTGAATAACTTTGTACATACTTTCGGCCATGTACGTTTAATTTATTATCATTTTTATAGTATTTCTATACGCGGTACATTTGAACTACTGATTTTTTAGACTAAATAACATTTAAAAAATGCTAATTAGTAGTTTATCGCTTAAGTAGTCCCTCGATTCAAAATACCTGCTGCTTTTAAGTGTTTTAAAATTGTTTTTATGTGCCACTCATTTGAACAAAAAACCTTTATTTCATTTCTAATCAATTTTTCTGTAATTGAAACTATCGTTCATTCGAACTACCTCTTTAATAAATAATTTTAAAGATGCGAGGCGAATCAGTTTTTTTGAAATAAGCAAATTAGTCAAGTCAAACTTCGTTTTCGCCGAGCGTTATTAAAATAAAGAAAAAATCATCTTACTTATCGTTTATTTATTATAATGATACAATTTCTAATTATATACAAACAAAAACCAACTTATATTTAAAACAAACTCAAAAAGCTTTCGACCTACTAAAACTAATAGCATTCGCTTCACGTATAACAAACGACAGGTCTGACAGACGTCAAACGCGACAAGTGACAGTTCCGGTACGTCTGACAATCGACAGTGACAAATTTAACGTAATAAATATGAAAGTTCGTTTTGTTTTAAACCGCACATTAGAGATACAAATCGAATATAATTAACATTATTAACGGTTAATGTGACAAAATTATCGCCTGGTTTTCGACAACGACGTAGACTGCGACTGTTTATTCCCGGATAAAACCACGTAGGCCGATTGGGTCTCTTTCTGTTTCGCCTGCAACATGTTTAGCGTTCCTAAAGGCGTATCGGTCGAACTCATTTTCTTCATGAGCTGCTCCTGGACGCTCTTTTGAATACGCTTTTCGACTTTATTTTTGCCCGGGCCCTTGCCGTGGAATTTGTGAGATAGATATCTGAAAAAGACAGTAAATAGAATATTGAACAAATGTCAAAAGAACTTACAAATGTAGAGTTAATATTGTCGTGAGTAAAAATAGAATTGTAGAGAAATGAGTTTTTGATATTGTTAGATAATATTAAGAGTCAGGGAGTTTTGAAAAACGTCTGAAAACGATATAAAACTTTGAAAGAATCTAAAAATCTAACAGAACACGTTTTAAAATGAAAAAATGGGTTATTACTCACCTAAAAGCTTCCTTGGAATTGAGTATGTGTCCATCATCATCGATATACTCCAACTTAACATTCGGCTTGAAACTATCCTTCTCTTTGAAGTCAGTAATGGGCCCCGCATACCTTTCCCTCCTCCCTTGTCGTTCCCCTTCCTCCCCATAAGATTTATCTTCGATGGAATAGTTCTTGGCCTGCAGATGGGCCAAACGCGAGTTCGACGGCCGATTACTCTGCTCCTTGTCCAAATATCCCTTGGACATGGCCAGCTTCAAAGCGGCGCCCACGCCCGTGCTGACGTCCGGTTCCTCGTCTAAAATCTGGACGTCTTGCGCGCCGATCTGCGTCGAACTGATGCCCTGGTTCGCGTCCACGGCGTTCCAGCCGGTATTGTCCTCGATGATTTCGCAATCTTCGTCGCTGTTGTCTTTCAGGTCCTTCTCGTAATCGTCCATGGCGTCCTCTGTTTCCTCTCGGTTGCCCGATTTGCCGTAGGTAGGGATGTCGCCCAAGGTGCGGCAAAATTCAGCGGTGGCGTTCAGAACAATGTTCGTACCTAGAGGCGAAGATTCATTCAATTAAGTGGTTCAGTGACAGAGATACCTAAACAACAATTGATTAAAAGCGAGTAAATGAAGATCAAAGTTGGAGAATGTAAAAATAGTTACTTGTCAAATAAGTAGTGTTTATTTAACTTTATCACGATGAGAATACTTATGATTCATCTGAACTACCAAATGTAATTTTCTGTATAGTTCAAAAACGAATTTGACAAGGAGTTAATGCAAGAAAAATATTGCAAATAATTAGCATTTGCCGTTTTGTTTCAACGATTTATTTGAACTACCGCAATGCAAATCATTACCATTTGGCGATTTGTTTTAATAATTTATTTGAGCTACTAACATAATAAATCCAGGTATATTTGAACTACTAATTTAATAAATTAATTCTATGCAAGCATTTATACACGTTTAAAAACAGATCGTTACAAGTCGTCGATTTTTACGAATGATTTATTTGAACTACTGCAAATAAATATGTTTGAATTATTAATTTAATATTCCGTTTTAAGGAATAATTCATTTGAACTATCGCAAATAAATCCTGGTACATTTTATCTACTAATTTAATCTAAGATTTTTAACAATAATTATTTAAAAATGCAGATTTTTTCTACTTTTCGTTTTGAACGAATGATTCATTTAAACTACTTCAAATAAATCAAGATACATTTAAACTATTAATTAAATAAATTCTTTTAAAAAACAAACAGTTACTATTTGTCAGTTTTTATGAATGATTGATTCATTTGAACTATCGCAAATAAATCCAGTTACATTTGAACTACTAACATAATTATTACGTCTAAATATTGAAGTTGATTACTTATTTGTTGGTTTCATGAATTACTTAATTAAACTACAGCAAGTAAATTCAAGTGCATTTCAACTACTAGTTTAATACAGCAGTTTTAATGAACATATTTTTACACGCCTAAAAACTGCCATCGTTATTTTCCTTTTTGTTGGTTTTTACGAATAATCATTTATACAAATGATTTATTTGAACTACTGCAAATAAATGTGTTTGAATTATTAATTTAATATTCCGATTTAAGGAATAATTCATTTGAACTATCGCAAATAAATCCAGTTACATTTTATCTACTAATTTAATTAAAGATTTAAAAAAAAATAATAAAACACGTTTAAAAATGCATATTTTACTATTTTTCGTTTTGAACGAATGATTAATTTAAACTACTTCAAATAAATAATTTAATAAAATCTTTTAAACGAAATTAGACACTTTAAAAAATAAACATTGTTACTATTTGTCGGTTTTTACGAATGATTGGTTCATTTGAACCATCGCAAATAAATCCAGGTACATTTGAACTACCAATTTAAACATACACGCCTAAAAATTCAGACTGTTATTAGGATCGTTTTTTAAAAATGATTCAATTGAACTACTGCAAATAAAGAAAAGTACATTTTAACTACTAAGTTAATCTAGGTTTTTAACAGATAGATTTATGAACGCCTAAAAATGCATATTGTTATTATTTATATTTGTGTACAAATTATTTAATTAAACTACTGCAAAATACAACAAAGTACATTTGAATTACTATATTAATAAATTTATTCACTTTAAAAAACGAAAATCCTTACTATTTGTCAGTTTTATTAATGATTTATTTGAACTACCGCAAATAAGTCCAAATAGTACATTTGAACTACTAATTGTTTAAACTGAAATCTGCATACACGTTCAAAAACGCAATCATTACTATTTGTCGGTTTTTCCAATTATTGATTTTAACTACCGCAAATAAATTCAGGATACATTTGAACTAATAAATGAATTAATTGTTTTAAGTAAGATAGTTCACATTTATATAAATAGGTCGTTATTATTCGGTTTTTACGAATTATTCATTTGAATTATCGCCAATAAATTAAGGTACATTTGAACTACATATTTAGTGATTGTTTAAATCGATAATATAGAAACGTTGACGTTACCATTTGTCGATTTTTAAGAATGATTCATTGTAACAAACGCAAATAAATCAAAGGTATATATGAACTACTAATTAAATTGTTTTAACCGAAATATTTATACACGCCTAAAAAACGCAAATCGCTGGTTAATTCGAACTACCATAAATAAATTAAGATAGATTTAAACTATCATAAATAAATTCAAATACATTTGAACTACTAATTTAATTAAGATTTGTAAGAGAAATATTTTTACACACTAAAAACGCAGGTTGCTATTTGTCGTTTTTACCGGCGATTCATTAAGGTACTTTTGAACTACTGGTTACTATCCATCAGTTTTTAAGAATTATTCATTCGAACTAACGCAGAAATGGAACATGGTACATTTGAACTACTAATTTAGTAAATTTATTTAATTGAAATATACACGTCTAAAAATGGAAATTGTTACTATTTATCTGTTTTTACGAATTATTCATTTGAACTACCATAAATAAATACAGATACATTTAAACTATTATAAATAAATCCAAATACATTTGAACTACTAATTTAATTAAGATTTTTAATAGAAATATTTTTGTACACTAAAAAGGCTGTTTACTATTTGTCGTTTTTTTACTGGTGATTCATTTGAACTATTACAAAAATTAAGGTACATTAAACTACTAATTTAATAAATAAACCTAAAAACGTCAATATTATTATTTTAGTTTTTAAGAATCATTCATTTGAACTACAGCAAATAAATCCAGGGTACATTTGAACTACTAATTTGGTAAACTTTTTTTTAACTGAAACTTTTATACACACCTAAAAACGCAAATGGTTACTATTTGTCGGTTTTTACGAATGATTCATTTGAACTACCGTAAATAAATCCAGATAGATTTAAATTATCGTAAATAAATCCAAATACTACTAATTTAATATTAAGATTTTTAATAGAAATATTTTAACACTAAAAACACAGGTTATTTGTCGTTTTTATTGGTGATTCATTTAAATTATCACAAACATTAAGGAACATTTAAACTACTATTTAATAAATTAAACTAAAATTTATACCGTTCAAAAAACACTCATGTCACTATTTGTCAGTTTTAAAGAATGATTCATTTGAACTAACGCAAATAATTAGAGTACATTTGAACTACTAATTTAGTCAATTGTTTTAACCGAAATATTTATACACGCCCTAAAAACGCAGGTCGTTATTTTGTTGTTTTTTTACGTACGATTCATGCCACAAATAAATCCAGGTACATTTGAACTAATACTTTAATTAAGCGGCTTTCTGAGAAAAATGTATTGAACGGAAAAGTGCGTTTCTTATCATCGAATTTTGAAACACACTGTGTATATGCTTTAGGTTAAGTTGTAAATCACAGCAAGCTGAACTTTATCTTTTTTTCAGCTTCCACCATTTATATTTTTGGACACTTATAAGTGAATAAAGACGATTTTTTTATTATTATTAATTAGTATTAATGTTATAATTATAAAATAATAAATACGTCATTCTTACCGTCAACATCTTCTTCAGGTTCTGCTTTGACTTCGCTCTTAATAATATCGGCTATGATGTTATCCTTCTGTTTCATGGTCCTAGCTTTGTGCAACGCTTTCTCCAACACATCGTCTTTATCATCGTCTAGCTTCAAATCGCTGACGTTGATATTGACCATGGGTACATCGTCGATATCGTAATCATAATCGTTTTTCACCCTCGGCCTTCTCGATCCGATACTTTCGATACCGGCGTTGTCCGGTTTAATTTCATCTTTGGTCAGCAATTTCCCTTTCGATCTGATTTTCCGCACCTTCTTTTTGGGTTTCTTGAATTTGGCTAGCTCTTCTTCGTTGTAGTAATCGGACGCTATGGTGCGATTACTTTCGGCGACGCTCTCCAGCCGCTTTTGGGCCAGTTTAGCTTTGACGCTTTGTACGGCGGCTTGTTTGCGTTCGACTGAGTTGTCGAAACCTTGAAAACGGGAAAATTTAAAATAAGGTTCTAAAGCTGGAAGTAAAAGAATGTGCCTCATAAGATACCAAAAGTGTGCTATAAGTAATATGTCGCCTCTATCAAGTAAATTTTGAAAAAGCGACGAATTGAGAACCTTTTTGAAGTTAAAAATTAAGAAAACCCGATTGCGACAGGTACAGTTGAATGTTAATAAATGTTGCTTTATAAGCTTTTTTAAAGGGAACAAAAAGTGCAACTCACAATATTAAATTAATGATAAGCCTAACTCAGTCAAAGATTTAGGGGTTATTTTAGATGAACAATTAAGATTTATTGAACATATAAATTCAATCTCAATAAAATCATCCCAATGCTTAGGGTTAATATTGCGTAACTGTTCTGATTTCTCTCTAGAAGCCATAAAAAGAGTTTATCAAACATTGGTTGTACCTCAGTTGATGTATGGTTCTATAATTTGGTCGTCACAATATCATACAGGGTGTCCCAGCTAAAACTTGTCACCCCCCTATCTCCGAACTCGTGAAAAAAATTGAAAATCGCTCAGACCCGTCGATTTTTATTTCAAGGGGGAACACTTTCACCAAATACATCATCATTGTGTTGTCAACCCCGTCATCCCCAGCACCCCCTACTTCAAAATTTTCAATGGGACTACTTACTTGTGATACATCATTTTAAAGGGAATTTAATCCCAAATACATCGGTGTACTGAAATTGAGGATCGATCAAGTGCTGTTGAAGTTTTAATGAAAACTAAGTTTTATCAAGATATTTTTATTTTTCATCACCTAAAATGTTATCATCATATGAAAGGTTCAAAATGTGAACCATTCAGTTCCATACAGAAGTATAAGCGATTTTCGAAATGTCTTCGCACATTTCTGAACATTTCTGGAGTCACTGCACGACACTCTACAACAATTCTCCTGCGTAGATCATCCAAGAGAATTTGGCTGTGTAATATAAACTTTGGATTTCAAATGACACCATAAAAAAAGTCTAATGGTGATAAATCAGGAGATCTAGCCGGCCATTCTATTGTTCCTCGCCTTCTAATCCATCTCCCTGTGAAATTGTCATCTAAAAATTGACGTACAGGTGCAACAAAATGTGGAGGAGCTCCATCTTGTTGAAAGGTGAGCCGACCTTCAAGTAGACCATCATCGTTTTCAAGTAATTCAGTGATTCTGGGGTTCACAGTTGTATCAAGAAGATCAAGATACTTTTGTCCGTTGAGGTTACCATTAATAAAATATGGACCTACAATATAATCTCCCAGAATACCAGCCCAAACATTCAATTTCTGGGGAATCTGTGAATGAGTTTCCCTGTACCAATGGGGATTTACGTCACTCCAGTATCTGCAGTTGTGCCTGTTCACATGTGCATTTAAATAAAAAGAAGATTCGTCAGAAAAGCACACAATTGCTGCGTTTGAGAATCCACATCGGATGCATTTTTTACATCTCGAGCGTTTTTTTATCCACATCGGACACATCTGTCCCATTACATTTACGTATACTGAGTCACGTGATCAAAGATTTTTTACATCTCAGATGCATCCGATGTGGATTCTCAAACGCGGCAATTGTAGAGGTAATTATTATCACCAATCAATAATTATTGACTCATGATTTCACAAAACTCTGTACGTCTCTCATGATCATCTTCATTTAATTCTTATACATTCTGCATTTTATAAGGATGGAATTTTGCTTCTTTTAGAATTCGATGTACGCTGCTTTTAGAAACTCCAGAAATAGTCTCAAGTTGTCTTAAAGATTGAATGTTGTCCATCAGTGCATGTCCTACAACTGCAACAGCGACCCCTTCATTTCTCGTAGGCTTCTCTCGTTCATGTTTTTTATTCAGCACTGATCCCGACTCCAGGAACTTATTCATCAATTGAATCAAGTACTGATATGATGTGGTTTTTTCTGGATGAATTTCATTGAAACTTCGAGCCGTAGCTCTAGCACATCGTCCATTTTCAAAATACGCAGCTACAATGGATATCCTCTCTTGTATAGTATAAACCATTTTCGACAGTTTTCAAATTGTTGAATGAAGTGAATCGAATACATCAATATACCAAGGCTTCAACAAAGATATGCGTATACAAAAACACATGGCGATATTTTTTTTTTTTTTTATAAAAACGTCTGTCTTACCTTTTAATCTATTATTTCTGAAAGCATATTAATTTTCAATACAGTGGCGTTCCCACAGAGAATCTACTTACGATAATAACATTTTAGGTGATGAAAAATAAAAATATCTTGATAAAACTTAGTTTTCATTAAAACTTCGACAACACTTGATCGATCCTCAATTTCAGTACACCGATGTATTTGGGATTAAATTCCCTTTAAAATGATGTATTACAAGTAAGTAGTCCCATTGAAAATTTTGAAGTAGGGGTTGCTGGGGATGAGGGGGTTGACAACACAATGATGATGTATTTCGTGAAAGTGTTCCCCCTTGAAATAAAAATCGACGGGTCTGAGCGATTTTCAATTTTTTTCACGAGTTCGGAGATTAGGGGGGTGACAAGTTTTAGCTGGGACACCCTGTATATACTGTCTAGCAATGGAAAGAATACAAAATAAATGTCTAAGATACTGTACCTTCAAATTAAATATTCGGCTAACCGATCACAATTATACTAGGATTTTAAATTAAATGAATATGACTTAAGTACAGGAGACTTATAACATCTATAGATTATTAAATGGTCTAGTTTTATGCCAGGAACTCTTAGAAATGATTTCTTTCAATATTCCTAATAGAGTCCTTAGGCAATTAAATATGTTACTGGATAGAAAATAATAAAAATTGTTGGTATTTTATGGGGAAGTTCTGGTGATTTTTGTTTGAAAAAATTTATGGTTATTATATTTTCCTTACTGGATACAGAAAAATAAAAATTGTTGGTATTTTATAGGGAAATTCTGATAACTTTTTGTTTGAAAAAAATATGATTTTTATATTTTTCTTACTGGATAGAAAGTAATAAAAATTGTTGGTATTTTATGGGGAAGTTCTGGTGATTTTTTGTTTGAAAAAAAAAAAATGATGGTTGTTATATTTTCCTTATTAGATACAGAATAATAAAAATTGTTGGTATTTTATGGGGAAATTATGATGACTTTTTGTTTGAAAGTAAATATGATTTTTATATTTTCCTTACTGGATACAGGAAAATAAAAATTGTTGATATTTATTTGGAAGTTTTGGTGACTTTTTGTTTGAAAAATTATGATTCTTATGTTTTCCTTACTAGATACAGGAAAATATAAATTGTTTCATATTTTCCTTACTGGATAGAAAATAATAAAAATTGTTGATTTATAGGGAAGTTCTGGTGATTTTTTGTTTGAAAAAATTATGGTTATTATATTTTCCTTAGTAGATACAGAATAATAAAAATTGTTGCTATTTTATGGGGAAATTCTGATGACTCTTTGTTTGAAAGTAAATATAATTTTTACATTTTTTGTACGGGATACAGAAAAATAAAAATTATTGGTATTTTATTAGGAAGTTCCTGTGAATTTTTGTTTGAAAAAAAAATATTCTTTTATTTTCCTTACAGGATACAGGAAAATAAAAAAATGTTGGTATTTTATGGCAAAGTTCTGATGATTTTTTTGTTTGAAACAATTATGGTTCCTATATTTTCCTTACCGGATAGAAAATAATAAAAATTGTTGGTATTTTATTGGGAAAATCCGGTGATTTTTTGTTTGAAAAAAATTATAATTCTTATGTTTTCCTTACTAGATACAGGAAAACAAAAATTGTTGGTTTTTTATGGGAAAGTTCTGATGATTTTTTGTTTAAAAAAATTATTTTCCTTACTGGATTCAGAATAATAAAAATACTTTGTAGTTTATGGAAAGTTCTAGTGATTCTTTGAAACCAATTGTGGTTGTTATATTTTCCTTACTAGATACAGGAAAATAAATATTGTTGGTATTTCATGGGAAAATTCTGATACTTTTTGTTTGAAAGTAAATATGATTTTTATATTTTGCGTACTGAATACAGGAAAATAAAAATTGTTGGTGTTTTATTGGTAAATTCCGGTGATTTTTTGTTTGACAAAATTATGATTCTTATGTTTTCCTTACTAAATACAGCAAAACAAAAATTGTTGGTTTTTATGGGAAAGTTCTGATGATTCTTTATTTAAAAAAATTATTTTCCTTACTATATTCAGAATAATAAAAAATGTTCGTATTTTCCTTACTGAATACAGGAAAATAAAAATTGTTGGTATTTCATTAGTATGTTCCGGTGATTTTTTGTTTGAAAAAAATTATGATTCTTATGTTTTCCTTACTAGGTACAGGAAAATAATAAAAATTGTTGGTATTTTATGGGGAAGTTCTGCCGATTTTTTGTTCACTTCAATTCTGTCAACTGCCAAAGAGACCCTGCTTTACATAGCAGACGCACTTATTCCAAATTTATTATGTTTCTCTGTTAATTTTGACTTGAATATAAATCTGGTAGTAATTAGACAATTATAAAGGGCTTTTAATTTTTTTCCAAAATTTTACTTCACGAAGGCGACATTTTTAGCGGGCAGTATTACATAATTCTAATTGCAAACTTTTGGTATCTTATTAGACAGAATATTTTCCCTCCATATATCGGTCTAACAGATAAATAATATACATTTTGTGTAAATGAAAAGAATACTAACCTATTCGGAAAGTCTCCTTTTTAGCACCGTCGATTTCCTCGTCGTACTTGCCCAACAAGGATTTCCCTTGATAATTTCCCTCTTCATCGAACTCTGAATCCTCGTACGGATTATAAGCGGTTTTCTTCTTCTTATTATCGATATTTTTCTTATACCGTTCGTCGTCGATCATATTTACGTTGACCAAAACGTCGTCGTCCTCGTCTAATACACCTTGATCTTTCAGCGTCAATATGACGGTCTTTTCCTCATCGAACGTATCGACATCGTGCTGCACGGTGAGTCCTTTCAAATCCTTTTCGGTATATTTATGTTTCATCTTTTCTCGATTCTCCGATTCCATGAAATCGCTGATGCCGAATTGAGCGTCCAGCTCTTCCAGCATTTTCGCTCTTTTTTCCGCTTCCTTCTTCATTTGCTCTTTCTTCCTGGACTTGTCCACCCATAGAGCTAGATCGTCTTCGTCTTCCGATTCCGCCAGAGTTTTTACTGACGATAATTTGTTGTGGATCTGGCGTTTTTCGCGGATTTCCGCTAACTTGGAGCGGATTTTCTCCTGTTGGTTCTTGTCTTTGATATTTTCGGCGGGTTTGTGGTAAAATTCGCCCAAATCGTCTTTTTTGAGACCGTCGCTTCTGTCTTTGGAGCTGGTGCCGACATTGGAGGTGCCTACTACGAGTGGTTTGAGGCCTAATTTGGCTCTGAGTTTATTTGTTTCCTCGATTGATAGCGATTCAACGCTTTGTTGGGTGGACGAATGGTTTGGGGGCTCTGAATACGTTTCTTTTTCTTTGGTGGTGATAGTAGCTGTTTTTGTTGGCGGCAATGGATCATTGTCAATGATTTCGACAACGTCTGAACCTGAAATTGTGGATTTTTTTACTTTGGGACTAGGGAAAAATTTTGGCACACTTTTCCGATATGGGTAGGTACAGTGTTTTATAATCGCATCAACTTCTTAAAGTTTTCGATATGGATAAATACATCATTAGTGTAAACAAATCCAAAATTAGAATTTAACCTACTGTAATTTCTGTGCTCGAAAAGCACATCGTGGTGATCGGTATGATTTAATACTTTAAACCTTATGTTCTAATTGATTAAAAAATACCGTCTTTATATAAACTGACCCTGCGATAATGAAGAATTCTGTTAACAAAGCTTTATAAATATGGAATCAGATAAAATACCATCACCTTTTAAAAAGTTACCTTGCACTTAGCGAACAAGAAGATATTAAGAAGTTTTGAGTACAAGCAAATCTGTTACCTTTGTAGTTCCTCAAGGAGCAGTACTTGGGCCGATTCTCTTTATAATTTATGTTAATAGTTTATTTAGATTAAAAACAAAAATAAAACTAATTAGTTTTACTGACGGCGGAAACAGCCTGGTAAAATTGAAAATATTCTATGATTAAATGATAAAAAACTTAGCTTATACTGTGAATGCAACTGGACTATCTAACTTGGGGCCCCTGTCAGATTAAATTTGGTTGATAAACATATGTGCTGGGATCTACAAATTAAAGAAGTAACAGATGAGGTTTTAAAATTAATACAGTCTTTAAAAAACACTATTTCAGTTGGTACTGATGGCTTAAATAATAAGTTAATTAAAAAGTGTGTTGCTCTATTGACTAAACCATTGATTTTTTTGTTGAATTTATCAACTGAGAAAGGTATTTTTTGAGATTCTTTAAAAGTAGCTAAAGTAGTTTCCATTTAAAAAAAGGAAGATCCGAATGATATTACTAACTATAGACCAATAAGTATCTTGTCAACTTTTTCCAAAGTATATGAGTTGAATATCAAAAATCAATTATGTAATTTGTTCACTAAGTTTAAGCTGTTATCGCCATCACAACATGGTTATACTTCAAAAAAGAGTACAGAGACTGCATTGATAGAGTTCCATACTAAAATCGTAAGATCTCTTGATAGTAAGAAGCATGTAATGGGTTTATTTATTGATTTTTCTAGAGCTTTTGACTGTGTGGACCATAAACTTCTACTGTTTAAGCTATCTAAATATAGAGTAAGAGGTATACCATTTGACTTATTGGAATCATATTTATCAAATAGAAGACAAATTGTTCAAGTGAATAATGTTCCTAGTTTGGAGCTGGAAGTTTCACAAGGGGTTCCCCAAGGATCGATTTTGGGTCCATTTTTATTTTTAGTTTTTGCCAATGACCTAATCACTTCCTTGAATGCTATTCCTGGAATATACCCAACTTGTTATGCTGATGACAGATATTTTAATAATCGAAAATAATGCATAAGTAAAAGAGAAAAGTAATAAATTACTTTGAGATTCCAATTTATCATTAATTTTTTTTTGGTCTGTTTTACTTTCTTTTTAGTTTTATTTTTTCTAAACCATTTGGAAGACTATTATAATTTTTTAACACTATAGGAGTAGGAACTTTTTTAAATAGATTTTTTTTGATCCATTATTCATTTTAAGAGAAGTAAAATTTATTATTTATCCAATAATAAAATAACTGCCATTAAGTCCATGATTTAATAAATAATTGATTTGGCATTATTTGTATAGCAGAACAGACTGGTAAATATTCATTCTATATAATTCATTTTAAAAATTCTTTCTTGGAGTATCTCCAGCGAATTTAAGAGAACTTGTAGATTTCGGCCCCCAAATGATTATCCTGTATCGTGACTTTCCACTAATGAGCGATAAAGAATTTGTATAAGATGGTTTGCAATTTTTTTTTAATTACATAATAAATATGGATATCCCATTCAAGGTATACATTTATAAAGATTCCTAAATATTTTATCTGCAATACGGAATTTATTTTAATAAAGGATTTAAATCCAATTTGATTTATTACCCTAACAGGTACTAAGGAAATTAAAAGTACAGGTCGAATTCCTTAAGTAGACAATGGAAACGGAAAATAAACGTTGCAGTGAGAATTATTGGACGGAATTTTAAATAAAGTGCCTACCTTGATTAATTCCTCACAACGGTTTTCGGTGCACGAAATGTAAATTGCGAAAAATCGGTTTCGAACGGCAAAACTACTCTCAAGCACAGTATCACGTAAATCAGTCAACAGTCAACAAAAGCCGGGATGGAAGAGAGAGCTCCCATCGAAAGACGTCTGCTTTTATCAAAAGTCGGACTTTTGCCAAAGTGGGGACGCTAGTTCCTACTCCTTTGTTATTAGTTGTTTTGCAATAAAAACGTTGATTGATCGGCATACTGATAAACCTACCAGAATTGAGATTTTAAGACATGATTTAATTTATGGTGATAATGAAAGGGGGTCCCCCAAATGTTCATAGACGGAAATTAGTTTTAGAAATTAATTTACGGAATAAATTAATGGAAATTTTTAGTGACTTCGTCACAAGATGTTGAATGAAGGAATTACCAGCTTTATTGCAAATAAAGGGTAAAAAGTATGTCGTTTATGAACAACTTATTACTAGAATACAATCGGGCTTCAGAAGCAAACATAACAACTGTGAATCAGCTATTCAGTGTGTTTTATATGATTAGAAATATAAATTTGATAAAAACTATCTAACATTGGCAGTTTTTATAGATCTTCAAAGGGCATTCGAGACTGTTGATCAAAACCGTTCGATAAAAAAATTGAGAAGTATGGGTATAGTAGAGCAAGCATTGGAAAATGGTGTGTGGATTACCTAAGTAAGAGAAAACAAAAGTTAAAAGTAAATAACATTTTGTCAGAGGAAATTAACTATATCAGAGGTGTTAAGCAGGGAAGTATATTGGGTCCCCTGTTGTTTTTAGTGTATATCAATGACATTGTTGATTTCAAGGGTCAATGTGACATTCACCTGTTTGCTGATGATGCCCTGATATATTTTTCTTGTAAGGATTCAGATAACTTGGCAAGAGTTGTTAATGAAACACTGCAACATGTTTGTTATTTTTGTTATTAAATAATATAACATAACAATTGGAGGAAATTCTATACAGTTAGTAGAAAAATTCAAATACTTAGGGGTAATGATTAACAAGGAGATGAGATTCATAGATCATGCCAACACTCTTATCAAAACTATTGCATTTAAGTTACATTTCCTATTTAAAAGTTCATTTGACTTATCACAGTGGACTAAATGTATTTTTTTTTGTGCCATCGGCATCAACTGCTACAGTTATTAGCCTCGTGTTCTGTGTAGGCTTTGTTACTGTTTCCCATCGCCACTTTAGGAACAGCACTGTTAATTAGTACCCAACAGTGAATGGTCAAGTGGGACTAAATGTATTATATATAATACTATAATTCTACCTCACTTTAATTATTGCTCTACAATATTCTTTTTACTAAATCAAAATGAGTTGAACCGACTACAGAATAGGGCTATGCGAATAATATCCTGTTCAAAATATACTTCCATTAATCTAATGCTTGAAACTTTGAGGTGGATGCCAATCAAAAGTCTCTTATTACGGAATGCGTTAATTTTTATTAATAAAATCAAACACGGATTACTTCCAATGTACCTAAAAGAGAAGCTTAATTATCACTCTAATGTGACAGATTTCTTAATTGATGAATATTTCTCCAGAAACAGTAACAACCTATAGAATTTTAGTTAGTTTTAATTGTATCTAAATTATCTATGTTTTGACTTATATGTATATTTTTACTAAATTTGTATATTGTGATATTAGCAAACTAGCTAAATAAAGGAAATAATAATAATAATAATAATAGTTTTTTAGATTTGACCTATTTTCCCTATTATGTTACTTTTACATTACTTATGACCAGAAGTCAAGATGTCAATCATTGTCATATTCAAGTAATTACTAGCTACTTCTATGTTGTCCGTTTATTCATGTTTTATTTCTGTCTTTTTAACCATTATTGTTAGTGAATAAACAAATAAGGGAGCGTTCAAGTATTACGTAACGCAATTTTTGGAGATTTTTAACCCCCCTCCTCCCCCCTCCCCCCCCCCATGTAACGCGCCGTAACGTTTTTGTGAAGGTAAAAAAAGGTCAAATGGTGACTTGAAATTTTGAGAAAAAGAAACGTTTTAAAAAATGCGTGAGAGAAACTCTCTACGCGACTTTTCTGAAGGGTTAAAAAATAATAATGTTGCGTAACGCGTAGTTCAAACGCTCCTGTAACGCATCGTAACGTTTTACAAAAACCCCCCTCCCCCCCAAATTCGTTACGTAATACTTGAACGCTCCCTAAGTAAAACATCACTATTATAATGGGTTTTCTGCCACATCTGGAATTCCCAAGGTTCCTATCTGGGTCTCCTATTGTTTAACTTATTTATGAACAGATTATGGATTATATTGAAGAGCACAAGTTAATTAGTAAAATTCAATCAGGATTTCGTAGCAAGCATGGATGTGAGACTGCACTACAGTGTGTACTGGATGATTGGAGGAGGAGATTGATAAAAACAATTTTATTATAGCTGTATTCTTGGACCTTCAACGTGCGTTTGACACAATAGATCAACTTTGACTAATTAAAAAACTAGAAAGTATAGGAATCAGAGGGGCAGTTTTAAATTGAATCATCAATTGCCTCACAAATAGAAAACAGAAGGTAAAAATAAAAAACATTATTTCTGATGAAGTGGTCAATGAATATGGTGTACCTCAAGGGAGTGTCTTGGGACCCTTATTGTTTCTAATATATGTAGATGACATAGGGGAGCTTCAAATCGAATGTTTATTGCATTTATTTGCAGATGACACACTTCTATTTTACTTATCAAATAACATTAAACAAGCGGTGACAGTTGTAAATAAAAGTTTGGAAAAATTAATATTAATAAAACTAAATATATGTTTATTGGAAATGATAGGGAATACAATAAGTTTCATGTAGATAACTATGTAAATAAAATTAGAACATATGAATTACAACATGTTGAAGAGTTTAAATATTTGATTGTAAAAATTGATAGAAAATTAAAATTTAAATCTCATGCTAATTATATTATAAAAACAATATCTTTTAAAATAAATTATCTATACAGATGTAGTAAGCACCTGACGCAGTGGACCAAAAATATAATATAAAACACTTTAATTTTGCCCCATTTTACTTATTGTGCTACAATACTTTACCTATTAGGACAAAACAAAAAAAGTAGATTACAAAAACTAAAGAATCGAGCAATGAGTACGTTACTGTCCCGCTCTAGGCTGACCCCAATAAAAGATATGTTATCTCAGTTAAAGTGGCTTCCAGTATTGTATTTAACCATGAGATACATCAGTACAATACTCGTAACAGACAAAAAATTTTATACCTCCAGTGGCAAAAAGAAGCTCTCAAAACTTTATATATTTTAAAGGATTACAGGAATTCAATAGCCTCCCAGAATCTATAAAAAACTTAACATCAATACTTACTTTCAAAAGCAAGGTTAAGCATTATTTGTTGGATGGGTAAAACTCTAAAATGGTTTTATTTTATTTTTATTATTAAGTCTAATTTAGTACTGCTTTAATGTATTGTGTATGACATGTTAATTAGCCATATATGACTAAATAAAGAGATACCATCAAACAGGGTTAAGTGAATCACAGTGGGTAAAGTGAACCATTCGGTAATTTTCTTTAAATGTGACAAATATTATATTTTTAATTCATAAAATTCCTCTTTGCTTTATGATTAAATGCTCTTTTTTACTATTTTTAAATAAACGTTTTTGTTCTTTGTATTAGGTTTATTTATTTATTTTTCCAACCAAGTGTTTTCAGTGGTTCACTTTACCCCAACATTTGCCAAAGTGACTTTCTTTATGACTTAAACCATGATTCACTTTACCCCAAAATAAGGGGTAAAGTGGATCACATTTTACCAAAAAAATTGGACACTTCTAAGTAAAATAAAAACATAAAAATTGGTTAATAGTGAGAGGTAAGCCACAAACAACATACGTTATTTTTTACAGATTTTTAATATTTGTAGTTTTGCAATATTCTGAGAAAAAGAGCTTTTTGTGATTCACTTAACCCCATTTGACGGTATATATCTTTCTCTTTTCCAACATGATTTTTTGATATAATTTAAATGGGATTTATTTTAATTTGAAAATTTATAGGTAGGTATTAGGGCTTTTTAAAGAATATCTGTTTTTCTAGGCCTGAATTAATTTTATTAATGTTATTATTGACTTCCAAACTCCACTTAAAATGTTACACATTATTTTAATTTTCAAGAGTTGAAGATTATGTGGTAACTAGCAATGTATATAAAAAAAACAAATTTAACTTTATTTGAATAATTCAAAATATCCAATAATGCAGATAATACATTTTTTACAAAATGGTGGTCATGTTTATAAACAACTCAAAGGAATGAATACATAAAATGTCTAGTAGTCTTCCTTGATGCTATTACATCTAAATTAAGTTAAAAAATACCAGCAGTATAAGTATTCTCGACTCTATAAAAACTTTATAACTTTAATATCTTAGCACAGGAAATACTCCTGTAACTCCTTAAAAATACACTTTACTGGATTTCTTGTAAAACCCACAACCTACAAAAGAGTGATGTTAACGAAAATACACAAAAGATTCTATTTACTTACCAGAAAAATCACTCAACTACACACTATTTACTTATCATCTAAAAGAAATTGTTATGTTAGTCAGTCATTATGAATTAATGGGTTTTATGATATCTCTTATTGTATTCCGTTTAAATATACCCACAAACTAACTGAAACTGTATGAAAAAAAGTGTGCCAAAATCTATACAGACCTTTGAATATTAAATAAATATTAAAATATCAAACCATCACTCTCGTATGCGTATTTCGTTGCCTTCTCTGTAGTTTCATAATGTCTAGAAGACTTTGGTTCTTCCTCGTAATATTTCGAAGACTTATCACGTCTTTTTTCCTTGTGGTGGTGGTGCTTCTTGTGTTTGTGTCGCTTCTCTTTGGGGGCATCGTGTGAAGAAGCTTCTTCATGCCTTCGCTTTCTCGATGACTCTTTATCCTTATGTTTCTTACTACTGGAACCCATACTAATTTATTAGATTTAATTTATTACCTAATCTCGATTGTGACTGACCATATACTTATGCTTTGTTTGGAAATAACCAGTCGATTTTCTAAAAAATATAAATACACCTACTAAAATGTAAAACGTTTTCACAACGCAACTTTTGACAGTTTTGACTTGACAGATTCAGACAGATGACACTTGACATTTCTATATTCTTCTCTTTTAGGACTGTCTACAATTATTTAAAAACTCAATCAATTCATACATTTTGCATTGTTTTTGCTACTTTACATTTCATAATTTGTATATTTAATTATTTAGGTCCGTATTTATAAATAAAACTCAACTGAGTCGGACTTGGGTAAGTCGTCCTTGATCGAAAATCGAAGTTCGGTTATATCGCGTGAATTTAGAGATGGGTAGTAACAAATCCGTAAATGTACATAACAGTTATAGATTCTCTAAATTCTAGTCTAACACCAGAACCAACTAAAACTTTAAGGCTGTATGTCACGATACTAAATTAAGTACTAAATTTAGCACTAAATTAAGTTATTAATTTAGTACTAAATTTAGAACTAAAAATTTTTTTTTCCGTTTGCAACGATACCAATTTTTAGTACTAAATTTACTATAGGCGCACGCGCATTGACGTATTAATACGTAAAATTAACAGAGAAATGAAATATTATGTGTAAAACAGACAAGTAAATGGTGTTTTTATTATCAATTTGACACTAGTTGACTTGACAACAACCAAATACAGCATAAAAACCACGAAAAAAACACAATAAAACCTACAAAATCAAACAAGCGAACTTTATTCAAGGCGATAATGTAAAATTGTCGCTAATTAAAAATAAAAGGGTACAGAAAATACCGTCGTGTTAACTTTTTCTATGAAAAACTTCTGCGCAACATTTCGGCGCACTTTTAGTACTTAATTAATGACTTTTTTTAGCACTAAATTTAGTACTAAATTTGCTGTTTGCAACGTGAATTTTTTTAGTACTTAAAAAATGCATTAATTTAGTTCTAAATTTAGTACTTAATTTAGTATCGTGACATACAGCCTTTAGAGACTTTGTCAATGAACTGGAGTGGGGTAGAAAGCCAATATGCACATTGTACCAATAGAACAAGATGCGACTCTATGGGCGCAGCCATTTTTATTTCTCATCTCACTCGGAAGTATTTATAATTACCATTTTGTTTCACATTGTTATTGTTCAATCCACAAGCTGGTGGATCAGACAATAACAAAGTGAAATAGAAAATGGTTGTTATAAATACTCTCGAGTGAGATAAAAAATAACCTGTCTTCGCCCATAGAGTCGCATCTTAAGCCTACTGACAAGCATTCTACCCCACTCCAGTTCCAGAACGACTTACCCAAGTCCGACTCAGATGAGTTCTGTTTATAAATACGGACCTTGAGTATCATTCAAAAATCGTGTTTCTATAAAAATTTACTGTTTGGATATACATTAAAAAAATGTTAATAACTGAATATGCTTCCGAACTACACCACTTGAATAAAAAAGATGATGAATTTAGTTGACAGTTGACACATGGTTGACACTGACAGTTCAAAGTTGACGTGTCAAAATTTTAAGGTTTGATTTGTCTCCACGTCAATACCTACTTAACATACCCAATAAATAGGTGAATATTTGTGATATTAATGAAATAAATACATGGAATGTGTTAAAAATCAAACAATTTACCGTCTACGAACAATTTTTGACCGCTCTTAAGTGATATTTAGCGGAAGAACACCTTGAAAATGTTAACGAAATTCGAAACCAAATCTGCTAGGGTAAAAGGGCTGTCTTTTCACCCCAAAAGACCTTGGATTTTGGCAAGTTTGCATAACGGGTGTATCCAGTTATGGGACTACCGTATGTGCACCCTTTTGGAAAAGTTTGACGAGCATGATGGACCTGTGAGAGGGATATGTTTTCATAGTCAACAACCTCTATTTGTATCAGGTATGTTTTGCTGTATATTTTCTATAATAATCGTTTCTGTTTGTCTAAAAGTAATGCGAGATTGAAACTACAAGAGCAAGATATTTAAATATAAATAAATTTACAGGTGGTGATGATTATAAGATAAAGGTGTGGAACTACAAGCAAAAACGATGTATTTTTACGTTATTGGGTCATTTAGATTACATTCGTACCACAATGTTCCATCATGAGTATCCTTGGATTGTGTCTGCATCTGATGATCAGACTATAAGAATTTGGAATTGGCAATCAAGGACTTGCATTTGTGTCCTCACAGGTCACAATCATTATGTCATGTGTGCTACATTCCATCCAACTGATGATTTATTAGTTTCTGCTTCATTGGATTCTACAGTTAGGGTCTGGGATATTTCAGGTACAGTTTATAGTATATTTCTGTTTCTTTTTGAATTATTAACGTTTTTGATTAGGTCTGCGTAAGAAGAATGTAGCTCCAGGACCTGCAGGTCTTGAAGAGCATCTCAAAAATCCTGGTTCAACTGATTTATTTGGACAAGCTGATGCTGTAGTTAAGCATGTTTTAGAGGGACATGACCGTGGTGTAAACTGGGCTTCATTTCATCCTACACTTCCTTTAATAGGTAATTAAAACAGTTTTTAATAATATTTTTATTAGAGTGTGATATATCGATTTTTAAATGTATTCAGCCTCTGGGGCAGACGATAGGCAAATCAAACTGTGGAGAATGAATGATTCGAAAGCTTGGGAGGTGGATACATGCAGGGGACACTACAATAATGTCTCTTGCGTATTATTCCATCCCAGACAAGAGCTGCTACTATCAAATGGTGAAGATAGGAGTATCAGGGTTTGGGATATGGCTAAAAGGACGTGTTTGCATACTTTTAGAAGGGAACATGAACGTTTTTGGGTCATGACCAGTCATCCTAATCTGAATTTATTCGCTGCTGGACATGATGGTGGAATGGTAAGTGAATTAGAACCTGAAATAAACGTTATTATACAAATTTTGTATGTGTTTTTTTTTTAATTTAACTGTAAAGAGGTTATTTGTCATTTAACAGCTGTCAAAAAAAGGTGTAGATCTGTTGTTATTATTATTAAATATATATCTTTTAAGATGATCCAGACTGAGTCCATTGATTTTAGTATTATACCTTTTGGCTACTTTCAAACAAATTTTTGTTAACTTTGTAGCATGGTTTAAAGTCTATTTTAAATCAGTTCAACAAGAAAGAATGATTAAAGTCAAAAATTTATACTTTTGTAAGTGTGTCTATAAATTAGCTGTTTGGAGTGAAACAAGTCAAACCGGTTGTAAGGTGATATTCATGTTTAGAAAATATTTTTCAAATTAAATATCAATATTAAATTAAACAAGCAATATAATATAAGATGATATAAGACAAGTTGCAAATTCCCTACTATCTTGTATAAGAAAAATATTTTCTAAATGTGAATATCACATGAAACTCATCTCAGCGTCTTAGGTTTGGGCCCCACGTTGGGCGCCAATTTGCAATGGGTCTTACGTCACCTTATATTACTACTACTACTATTTTCCAAATGTTTACAAGGACCTCATTATTAAATAAATTCAAATGAATTTAACACGAAAGTATCTATTTTCATATTGGTTATATTTAACTCACCCACAAAAGCAATTCACTATTTGTATAAAAACAAAACTACGCCGATAGACTGCATCTTATAAATTATCACTGTTCTACCCAACTTTATTATTAAAACCCATATATATTATCAAATTAAGTAATATTTCACAAAACACAATTAAATACACATCAACTCAATAGTAATTTGTGGTTTGTATGCCATGAGGCCACTATTTTATCTGTCAATGTATTAAGAGTTAACCAAGTAACAAATTAACTATCAGAATTGTAAAAACTAAATGACATACCTTATTCCTTCTATTAGTCGTTTTATTTCTACTTCAACAGGTCATCTTCAAGCTAGAAAGAGAACGCCCAGCTTATACGGTACACGGCAACCTGCTGTACTACGTAAAAGAACGGTTTTTGAGAAAACTCGACTTTACCACGTCCAAAGACGTGCCCGTTATGCAAATCAGGGGCGGAGGTAAAATTCCGGTATACAGAATGTCTTTTAATCCCGCAGAAAATGCCGTTCTACTTTCGACGCGCACTTCCAATTTGGATAACAGCACTTACGATCTGTACATGATTCCCAAAGATCAAGAACGCGAAGATCACGTTCCAGGTAACCGTATTTATAGTTTCCAGACAAGTGACGTTTAAAATTTGACAGTTTACAACTGTCACTTGTCGTTAACCGAGCCGTTTAGTCTTCCGTCCGACTAAAATCCTACCCTTTAACGTTTTTTTAGAGGCAGAAAGTAAGAGATCCTCTGGTTTGACGGCTCTTTGGGTGGCGAGAAACCGTTTCGCTGTCTTAGATAGGACCCACCAATTGATCATCAAGAATTTAAAGAACGAAGTCACCAAAAAGGTCCAAACTCCCACGTGCGATGAAGTTTTTTATGCCGGCACCGGCATGCTACTGCTTAGAGATTCGGAACACGTAACGTTGTTCGACGTACAACAGAAAAGGACTTTGGCTCAAGGTGGGGTAACTATTTTTATTTATTTATTGATATTTTGACTGTTTTTTGACTGTCAACATATTTAAAGCAGACACATTCTTGTATTTTGACATTGAAACATTTGGATTACCATGTCTCTATTTAGTTTATTATTGTTTTTTTTTTTAATTCTATTGATATTTTGACATTGAAACATTTGGTTTGTCATATGTCACTCGTTTTTGACAAGCATTCAGTCTTCAGTCCGACTTATAATAGCCGTTTTTCTTCCAGTTAAAATAAATAAATGCAGATACGTGGTCTGGTCATCGGATATGTCGCACTTGGCGCTTCTCTCCAAACATAATGTGACAGTTTGTAATAGAAAATTAGACGTCCTGTGCTCTTTACACGAAAATACTCGAGTAAAATCAGGAGCTTGGGACGATAGCGGTGTATTTATCTATACTACCAGCAATCACATCAAGTATACCCTTAAAAACGGGTAAGTAATTTTCGGTGTTCCGCAAGGTTTCGTTTCGAAACTCGTAGTTTACGGTATGTATACTTTTAGCGATCACGGAATCATCAGAACACTCGATCTTCCTATATACATAACTAGAGTGAGGGGAAGTCAAGTGTTTTGCTTGGATAGGGAATGCAAGCCGCGTCTATTGGTCATCGATCCAACCGAATACAAATTCAAACTGGCTTTAATCAACCACAAATACGAAGAAGTCTTGTACATGGTTAGAAATTCGCGATTGGTTGGTCAGAGCATCATTTCTTACTTGCAACAAAAAGGTATATGTCAACGTTTCCTCTCTTTTGTCACTTGTCAACTGTCTATTTGGTTCTATAGGTTATCCTGAGGTGGCGTTGCATTTCGTCAAAGACGACAAGACGCGATTCACGTTGGCTCTGGAGTGCGGCAACATCGAGATAGCTTTGGAGGCGGCTAAAGCGCTCAACGATAAGAATTGTTGGGATCAGCTGGCACAAGCAGCGCTGTGGCAGGGCAATCATCAAGTCGTCGAAATGTGCTACCAACGCACCAAGAGTTTCGAGAAATTGTCTTTCCTGTATTTGATCACCGGCAATTTGGAAAAGTTGAGAAAAATGATGAAAATCGCCGAAATTCGCAAGGCCAGGTCGTCTCAATACCACGCTGCGCTTTTATTGGGTGAGTTAATTAGGTTAAGTCATCGATTTGACATCTTTCAAAGTTATTTGGACAATTATGACAGCTGCTAATACTTTTTGATGATAAATTGAGTTCTGTCAATTCTAGGCGATCTTGAGGAAAGAGTGAAGGTCTTGAAGGCCTCGAACCAGCTGTCTTTGGCATATTTGACAGCCGCCACCCATGGAATGAGAGAAGAAGCCGATCAGTTAAAAGAACAAATAGGAGACACGAAAAAGGTACCGGATGTGGATCCGAACGCCAAATTCTTGAAACCCCCACCGCCGATACAGCAAGCCGAGTCCAACTGGCCTTTGTTGACTGTTAGCAGGGTAAGTGTCAAATTTGCCTTTGTCACTTATGGTTCAAATAAACATTCGAAAATAGCAATAATTGACATTTGTTTTTTGGTAGGACAAAATAATTTGGTTAAATTAACTGCAAAATTAGTTAGTAACAAAGTTATTTTTAGCATTTTTGTTTATAGTAGTGCAAATGAATCAGTTCTAAAAATTCGAATACTAATCTTTTTTGATTGAGGATTAATAATTTTGTTAAATTTTTATAAAATAAATCAATAGTTTAAATGTACCTGATGGGATGTTTAATTCCTTTTAAATGCTAGGAAATTATAGTAAAGTGGTATTAAATTTAAAACATGTTACTTTAAGCCTTCTTATTTGAAGTTGTTAGTAGTTCAAATGAATCGCTCCTAAAAGCTCTAAAACGGCAATAAATCTTCTTTTGTGTTGATAGAGGAAATAATTTCCTTAAATTTTTCTCAAAATAATTCAGTAGTTCAGAAGTACCGTGTGTTAAATTTCATTCAAACTGCTACGAAATTAAATTCAAATTGTCTAAAACGCAAAACAAAATCCGGTTGTTAATGATCTGTATTTTTTTTATTGATGAATAGTAGGTTCATTAAATTTTCTGCAAAATAAGCTAATAGTTCAAATGTACCTGATGTTTAATTCCATTAAAAAAAGCTAGGAAATGAAAATAAAGTGGAATTAAATGCAAAACAAGTTATTTTAAGCATTTTTATTTGAAGTAGCTCAAGTGAATCGCTCCTAAAACTTGAAAAAAGCAATAATCTGAATTTGTTTTCGTAGTGGAATAATTTAATTAAATTTTTCTCAAAATAAGTCAGTAGTGCATAAGTACTGTGTGAAATTTCATTAAAACTGCCACGAAATTAAATTCAAATTGTCTAAAACTCAAAACAAAGTTATTTTTAGTATTTTTGTTTGTAGTAGTTCAAATGAATCGGTCCTAAAAATCCGATTGTTAATCTGTATTTTTTTGTTAAGGAATAATAAGTCCGTTAAATTTTATGCAAAATAATTCAGTAGTTCAAATGTACCGGATGTTTAATTGCAATAAAACTGCTGGTAAATTAAATTAAAGTGATATTAAATATGAAATAAGTTATTTTAACCCTTTTTATTTGTAGTAGTTCAAATGAATCACTCTTAAAAACTCGAAAACTGCAATAATCGGCATTTGTTTTGATAGAGGATTAACGCAAAACAAATTTATTTTTAGCATTTTTGTTTGTAGTAGTTCAAATGAATCGTTCCTAAAAATCCGATTGTTAATGAATTTTTTTTTTTTTTTTTTCATTAATAATAATTTCGTTAAATTTTCTGCATAATAAATCAGTAGTTCAAATGTACCGGATGTTTAATTGCAATAAAACTGCTGGTAATTTAAATTAAAGTGGTATTAAATGAGAAATATTTAACCCTTTTTTGTAGTAGTTCAAATGAATCGCTCTTAAAAACTCGAAAACTGCAATAATCGGCATTTGTTTTGGTAGAGGAATAATAAGTTCGTTAAATATTCCGCAAAATAAGTCAGTAGATCAAATGTACATTTTCTTTAATTCCATTTAAACTGCTAGGAAATTAAATTAAAATTGTAGTAAAAGCGAAATAAGTTATTTTAAGATTTTGTGTTTGTAGTAGTTTAAATGAATCGCTCCTAAAATCCAAATATAGGAATGTTCAGCATTTTTTTATTGAAAAATAGCTAGTTCATTAAATTTTCGGCTAAATAGGTCAGTAGTTCAAATGTATCTTTTGTTTAATTCCATTAAAATTGCTAGGAAATTAAATTAAAATTGTAGTAAAAGCGAAATAAGTTATTTTAAGCCTTTTTGTTTGTAGTAGTTCAAATAAATCGGTCCTAAAAATTCGATTGTTAACGAACTGTATTTTTTTATCAGGGAATAATAATTTCGTTAAATTTTCTGCAAAATAAGTTAGTATTTCAAATATACCTGATGTTTAATTCCATTAAAAAAAGCTGGGCAATGAAAATAAAGTAGAAATAAATGCGAAACAAGTTATTTTAAGCCTTTTTTATTTGAAGTAGTTCAAATGAATCACTCGTAAAACTTGAAAAAAAAATCAATAATCTGAATTCGTTTTGATAGTGGAATAATTTCGTAAAATTTTTTTCAAAATAAGTCAGTAGTTCATAAGTACCGTGTGTTAAATTTCATTAAAACTGCTACGAAATTAAATTTAAATTATTGTCTAAAACGTAAAACAAAGTTATTTTTAGCATTTTTGTTAATAGTAGTTCAAATGAATCGGGTCTAAAAGTCCGATTGTTAATGATATGTATTTTTTTATTGAGGAATAATAATGTCGTTAAATTTTCTACAAAATAAGTTAGTAGTTCAAATATACATAATGTTTAATTCCATTAAAAAAAAGCTAGGAATTGAAAATAAAGGCTCACAGGCTTAGATAGATGAAAATGTTATAAAGATAACAAAAGTCAGCTTATTCAGATATTATTGTCTTGAATTGAATTCCACATTTCTATAATTTTAGTATTGCCATGCCCAAATTATTCTGCCATTGGTTTGCTATCCCTAAGACGTGGTTAATTTACTAATACTGATTTATATTAATTTCTAAGCAGAATAAATTATCATTTCGCACTTTTGGTTATTGTTTTCCTTATTTTATGCAGAGCTTCTTCGAAAACACCGCAGCGGTAGCCACAGCTTCAGCCAACATGAAATCTTTAATGGCCGAACCGATATCCGACGTAGCAATGGAGGAAGCCCAAGGTTGGGGCGATGATGACGAGCTGGAGCTCGATCCCGACGAGAAGAAACCCGACACTGCGGCCGCCGGTGGTGACGGTGAAGCTGGTTGGGACGTCGAAGACGAAGGATTGGAAATACCCGATTTAGGACCGACGGCAACGGCCGAAGTCGAGGGTAATTTCGTCCATCTACCCACACCAGGTCCGTCTCCGCCTTTAACTTGGACTAAAAACTCTCAACTGGTGGCCGATCACGTAGCGGCAGGTTCTTTCGAATCGGCTGCTAGATTGCTTCACGATCAGCTGGGCGTGGTAGATTTCAAGCCTTTCGAAAGTCTCTTCTTGAACCTCTACAGCACGTCCAAGACAGTTTCTTCTTGGCAACAAAACGTGCCGCCTTCGTTCAGTTATCCTTTGAGGAATTGGAAGGAGGCGAATATCAAGAATCAATTGCCTGCTTCCGGGGTCAAATTGAACGATTTGGTCGCTAAATTACAGATCTGTTATCAATTGACGACGGGCGGAAAGTTCACGGAGGCCATCGAAAAACTACAAACTCTGCTGTTGTCCGTCAGCCTTTTGGTCGTCGACAACAAACAGGAGATTACGGAAGCCCAGCAATTGCTGAGAATAGCCAGCGAGTACATTTGCGGACTGCAAATGGAAACTTTGCGCAAAACCATGCCGAAAACGTCGCCTGAAGAGCAGAAACGTCAGTGCGAGATGGCCGCTTACTTCACGCACTGCAAATTACAGGTATGTAAAATAAACTGTATGAAAGTAGAGAGGGGTTTTGTTAAATTTTGATTGTCGTTGAATTTGTGCAGTTAACATATTATAATTTTAATTATTTATTGATAATCAGGTAACAAAAAATATTTATGTATAAAACATTTGAAAGTATCTTTTATTCTAATGGTAAAACATTATTTATTTTGTCTGTTGAACAAAAACATGCACCATTAAAAATTAAATTTAAATTATGTTCCTTATATCCACGTTTTAACTTTTTTTGTGTTTTAGTCTGCAAAAATTATTAATTTTTTAACGTGTTTAATTAATTTGGTTTTCAAAATTGCTTTTGTTGGTCCCACATAAATAAATCTTAAACAATTTTGAAAACCGCTTCTGTTAGGTAGCCTTTTCAGAAGTTTATCTTTAATTGAACTGATATAGTGATATTAAAGAATGAATTTCATAGGTTTTACACGAATCCACATTTTGAAATTCGAGCTGCACATCACGGTGTTGTAATAAAAACAAGAGCGGAATTTGTTTTGAGTAGGGAAAAACAATTTTTTACCGCAAAATAAGTGAGTAGTTCAAATGTACCTAGTGTTAAATTTCTTTAAAATTGTAAAAAAAATTGTTTAATATGCAAATCGGGTTATTTTTAGTCGTTTACTTAGTGGTAGTTCAAAGGAATCGCTTCTAAAACACCGTAGATAGGAATAATTTTCAATTGTTTTTGATTGAGGATAAATAATTTCGTTAAATTTTGTGCAAAATAAGTCAGTAGTTCTAATGTACCTCATCTTAAATTTCTTTATACTGCTACGAAATTAAATCAAAATTGTCTAAATCGCAAAAGTCGTTTACTTAGTGGTAGTTCAAATAAATCGCTTCTAAAACTCCGTAAAGAGGAATAATTTTCATTGTTTTTATTAGGGATTATCAATTTCGTTAAATTTTGAGCAAAATACGCAGTAGTTCTAAGTATCGTAAATTACATTTTTTTAAATCGCTACGAAGTTAATTCTAAATTGTCTAAATCGCAAAATAAGTTGTTTTCAGTTGTTTACTTAGTAGTAGTTCGAATGAATGTTTCTAAAAATCCGTAAACAGCAATAATTATTATCAATTGTTTTGATTGATTAAATAATTTCGTTAAATTTTATGCAAAATAAGTTAGTAGTTCCAATTTACCGCATCTTAAATTTCTTTAAACTGTTCAAAAATAAACTTAAAATTATCCAAAACGCAAAACATGTTATTTTCAGCAGTTTATTTTGTAGTAGTTCAATTGAAGCACTCCTAAAAATCTATAAATAGGAGTAATTAAAATTTGCTTTGATTTACGATAAATAATTTTAGGCAAAATGTCATTAGTTCAAATGTACGTATGTTAATTTTTTTAATACTGCAGCGAAATTCAATTAAAATTGGATTAATTAGAATTTGTTTCGATTAAGGATAAATAATTTCGGTAAATTTATTGCAAAATTAGTTCAAATGTACCGCATGAATAGCAATAATCAACCTTTTTTGTTTTATATATTAAAATTTATTTCGTTTTTACTGCAAAATTAGTCGGTAGTTCGAATGTACCGTTTTTCAGATTTCATTAAAATTGCTATGAAATTAACTTTACATTGTCTAAAATTCAAAATAGTTATTTTATAATTGGAATTTATTTTAATTAAAAATAAATTTTACTAAATTTTGTATAAAATAGGTTTAAATGTTAAATTTCTTTTAACTGAAATTAAATGCAAATAATCTAAAATATAAAAAAGTTATTTTACGCATTTTGCTTTGTGGTAGTTCAAATGAATCACACCTATACATTCTTAAATAGGGATAATTGGTAATTGTTCTAATTGAAGAAAAATAATTTCAATAAATTTACTGCAAATAATACAGTAGTTCAAATGTACCACATGTTAAAATCCGAAAATAATAATCGATATTTGTTTTTACATAGGAAATATAATTTGTTTAAATTTACTGCACTATTAGTAGTTTAAATATACCGCTTGTTAAAAATCCAAAAATAGAAATATTTTTTTGTTCTACGTAGGAAAAACAATTTTGTTAAATTTACTGCAAATTAGTAGTTCAAATGTATCGCATTTCAAATTTTAATAAAATTGCTACGAAATTAAATTTACATTGTCTAAAATTCAAAATAGAGTTATTTTTAAATTTGTTTATAGTAGTTTAAATAAATCACTTCTTATAAAAATCCGAAAATAGGAATTATCGGTATTTTTGATTAAGGAATAATAATTCGGTTAAATTTGCCTCTAAATATGTGAGTAGTTGAAATGTATCTGATATTTAATTCAATCAAAACTGTTAGGAAATTAAAATGGGCCCTTTCATTTTTGAATGTGAATTATTTATATATTTATAAAGATATTAAACTCTTTTGTCTGGTGGTACTTTTCCCGTTAAGATATTTTTGCTAGAAGTAAGGGAATTCCCATAAAATTCTTTCAGTGACTCATTGCGTCAGAAAACCCCTAATTCCCTTCAGGTCTTGTATCGGTTAATAGTTAAAAGGGCGCGGTTGTCGGATGTATCATTGCACCACCATTCCTCTTCTGCATTTATTAAAGAAATTTACATGATAAAAATATATTATTTTTTAAAAATAATGTGTTTATATTTTCAGATAAAGCTGGAAGCCTTACCTTTTTTAAATTTTAATAAAAACAATTAGTATTACTCAAGCTGAATATTACCAGATCGAAATTTTATTGGAGAAAATGTATCTGGTAAACGTGACAACGTTGTAAGTACTTCTACATAGTGTTGTCTACCACTTCTAGAAATAAATGCAACGTTGCCACGTTTACCAGATAAATATTGCAAATCAAATTTATACTTTTTGATTATGGTCTGGTTAATTTTCAGCCTGAGTAATAATAATTGTTTTAAATAAAAAGTAAAAAATAAGCTCCCAGCTTTAAATCTGAAAATATAAGTTCATGATTTTTAGAAAAATAATGGAATTGTACTATTTAAATTACATATATAAATGCAGAAATGCTATATTAGGGATACTTCCGACAACCTCGCCGTCTTTAAGCATAACCGATACGAGACGTGAACGGAATTAGGGATTTTCTGACGCAATGAGTCACTGAAAGAATTTTATGGGAATTCCCTTACTTCTAGCAAAAATATCTTAACCGGAAAAGTACCACCAGACAAAAGAGTTTAATATCTTTATAAATATATAATTAATTCACATTCAAAAATGAAAGTGAACGGGCCCATTGTATTAAATGAAAAAGAAGTTATGTTAAGCAATTTTATTTGTAGTAGATCAAATGCATCGCTCCTAAAAATCCTAAAATAATTATCAACATTTTGATTCAGGAATAATAATTTTGTTAAATTTAGCACAAAATAATTCAGTAGTTCAAATGTACGCCTTTTTCTTTGTGGTAGTTCAAATGAATTGCTTGTAAAAATCCATAAATTATAATTGGGAATTGTTTGTTTTTGTTAAATTTACTGTGAAATAACTCAGTAGGTCTGATGTCCCTAGCATTAATAAATATTATTGTTACCAGATGTTAAATTTCATTACAACCACTAGAATTTACTAATAAGAAAATAAAGTAAATTTAAAACACTATAGTATATGTAGATTAACTTCTAAGCAGACTAAATTATTATTTCGCACTTTTGATAGATATTAAAAGTCATTATACTTCTACAAAGTTAAATCCAAATTGTCTAAAACACAAAACAAGTTATTTTTAATCTTAACATTGTGGTAGTTCAAATGAATCGCTGCTCAAAATTCGTAATTAGTAATAATTAGAATTTGTCTTGATAAATAATTTCATATAAGTCAGTAGTTCAAATGTACCGCATGTTAATTTTCTTTAAATTGCTACTAATTTAAATTCAAATAATCTAAAATGCAACAAGTTATTTTAAGGGTTTTAGTTTGTGGAAGTTCAAAATGAATTGTTTGCAAAATTTAGTCTTAATTTAATCTATAAGGTCTTTTTTCAAATTCAACTTGTTACTATAATCCTCTTAATGGGATTTTTTTTATTTGGGTGAGTTCATATGAACGAGGTTGACTCTATTGTTTATTTTGCAGCCCATCCATCAAATCCTGACCCTCAGGACCGCTTTGAACATGTTTTTCAAGCTCAAAAACTATAAAACCGCAGCTTCGTTCGCCAAAAGACTTCTGGAACTGGGTCCTAGACCGGAAGTCGCGCAGCAGGCTAGGAAAATCCTGCAGGCCTGCGATTCCAATCTGACGGACGATATTCAACTGCATTACGACGAGCACAATCCATTCAATTTGTGCGGTCATTCGTACACGCCGATATACAGGGGCAAAGCGGAGGAGAAGTGTCCGTTGTGCGGTACCAGCTACTTGCCTAAATTCAAAGGAGTTTTGTGTAATATTTGTAAGGTAGCTGAGGTCGGTAAGGATACGATTGGATTGAGAATAAGTACCCACCAGTTTAGATAGGTTATTATTATTTTATGTATTTACCCTAATATGCTTTCTTTCTAATAAATATGTATCTTTATTTGTATAATAAATTGAATTTTATGCGTTTTTTGAGTGTTTTAATTTCTTATTAAATTTCTTTATACTGCTATGAAATAGTAGTTCAAATGAATCGCTTCTAAAAATCCCTAAATAGAAATAATTATCATTTGTTTTGATTGAATATATTTTTGTTAAATGTTGTGCAAAATAAGTCAGTAGTTCAAAAGTACCACATGTTAAATTCCTTTATACTGCTACGAAATTAAATCCAAATTGTCTAAAATGCAAAACAAGTTATTTTCAGCTATTTGCTTCTTCTTCTTTCTACTAATTCAAATTAATCGCTTCTAAAAATCCCTATGTAGGATTAATTATCATTTGTTTTGATTAAAGAGAATTACTTTTGTTAAATTTTATTCAAAATAAGTCAGTAGTTCAAATGTACCGGATGTTAAATGTCTTTATTCTTCTACGAATTTAAATCTAAATTGTCCAAATCGCAAAATAAGTTATTTTCCTGTTTACTTTGTGGTAGTTCAAATGAATCGCTCCTAAAAATCCTTAAATAAGATAAATATCATTTATTTTGATTGAAAAGAAATATTTTCGTTAAATTTTGTACAAAATAAGTCAGTAGTTCAAATGTACCAGATGTTAAATTTCTTTATATACTGCTATAAAATTGTGTCTAAATCGCAAAATAAGTTAGTTTTAGCTGTTTACTATGTAGTAGTTCAAACGAATCACTTAAAATCCGTAAATAGGAAGAATTATCATTTATTTTGATTGAAGAAAAAATATTTTCGTTAAATTTTATTCAAAATAAGTCAGTAGTGCAAATGTACCATGTGTTAAATTTCTCTATACTCTTACAAAATTAAATCAAAATTGTCTAAATAGCAAAATAAGTTTTGTTCTTTATTATATAGTGGTTCAAATGAATCACTTTTAAAATCTGTAAATAGGAAAATTATCATTTATTTTGATTGAAGAGAAATATGTTCGTTAAATTTTGCACAAAATAAGTCAGTAGTTCAAATGTTCCAGATGTTAAATTTCTCTATACTCTTACAAAATTAAATCAAAATTGTCTAAATCGCAAAATGTTATTTTTAGCTCTTTACTGTATAGTAGTTCAAATTAATCACTTTTAAAATCCATAAATAGGAAGAATTATCATTTATTTTGATTGAAAAGGAAATATTTTCGTTAAATTTCGCACAAAATAAGTCAGTAGTTCAAATGTACCATATGTTAAATTTCTCTAATATTCAAATTGCATATAGGAAAAATAAGTAAATTTAAATCGCGGTAGTTCAAATGTAACAAAGAATGACTGGAAAGGTGATTTTTTTATATTCACCGGTTCTGTTTTTGCGGTTTTACCTGATGATTCCTGAAGTCTAGAAGTTCTATGATTCTTGTAGAAGGGTTAAAATAATGTTCTCTATTCAAAATTAGCAAAGTTCACCAAATTATTTATTTTATTTTTGTAGATGTAGTTTTACTTCGTCTCATAATTAGTTTAGTTATGTTTTGAATAATATTTTGTTACTAAGGGCTCGCGCCTGCACAGAGGCGTACTCAGTCTTCTATTTACGCTTCAAAATATGTACGTTAAAAAAGAAAACAACTTATATTTCAACAGGAATGTATATTTTTACATTTTCAATAAATAAAAGTTCATAAAAAACATTTACCATAAATATACATAATATATACATACAAAAGTTTAAAACTTACTGCCGATATTATACAAAATATACAAAAAAAAGTCGATACATTAAAATTTTGATTATCACAATGTTGACATATTTATATGCTTAGAAAATTAGTCTTAATGCGTCCATTCAACAACTCAGTCTCTACCATCAGAAAAATATACGATAATGTGGTCGCAAAGCAATAATATAATCTAGCAAATTATTTACAGGCCTACACGAAATAAATAAAACATTTACACCTAGTTGCGACAACGCTTGTTAAATCTCTCAATTGAATGGTCGGCCATAACAACTCACCGAGTCATAATTTGTGAGAAACATAGAAGTCATTAAAAAAAACAACTTTTTCAAAAAAACTCAAAAATAAAAAAACTTTCATTAAAATTTATCCAATACGGCCCTGTAAATAATATGGCACCATATTAAAAAAAAATATGTTCACTTATTATGTACAATAATGATTAAAGACTGATGCAACAAATTATTCTCAAATGTATTGTTTTCATATAAACATTCAAGCAAATAACATTGACTGGTAAGCGTATGATTCACGCTAAAGACCTAACAAAAAAGATACAAAGATAACAAAATGTTTAGCTTAATTTTCGATACAGCAGTCCATGCCCTGATTTAATTTTTTTAATTTTCAGTCTTTATTTTTGTTTTTTTTTTAAGTTATTTGAAAATATGTTTATTATAACGACTTCTATACATCAACTTAGGATTCACCCTGTATATATTAATTTTCTTCTTAATTAACTGGTTCATAACAAGTATAAATACCTAAATGGAATATTTAACTATCTCAAGATAGTGTTAGAAATAAACAACATAAAAAGTAATTATGAGAAAACCCAAAATAACATAAAATTCTCCAAAAACTTAATAAACGTTGTTGCAACCGGCTGCCAATCATAAAAAATATACATTAATGAACACATTCATTCAAATAAAAAAAAAACTTGGCTCGTCACCTCCAATTTTATCCTTTTTTTTAGTTAAAACGAGTCTAAAGTAGGAGTATTTTGTTAGTAGTGATACCGCGACGTGTCTTTTAAACTCAAGATGGCGGCCGTGAAGTCACATTACGTTTTAACATAAAAAAATGAGAATCTCTTATCCCCCGTTTAAAATTTTACATTTTTTATCAAAACCTGAAAAATATTCGATATTTCTGACATATGTCAACTAGTAATTATTATTCTTGTCATATGTCATCTGTCGTTTAAAATTCTCGACATCTTTCATGATAATTGTTACAAAAAACCTCTTTAATTTAGCGATCTCTTTTCTTAAAGATGTATGACATAAATTATCAATTAGAATCCATCTGTTACATGTCAATTAAAAATTTTGACATTTTTTAAGTTTGTTACTACTGAAAAACCACTACACGTAGCACTTGTTCTTTGAAAATTTTAATCAGATCTCCAAGTCATTCGATATTAAATTTATTACAAATAAAATGGTAGTTCAAATGTACCGGATGTAAAATTTTATTAAAATTACTAGGAAATAAAATTCAAATTGCCTAAATGCACAACACGCACATTTAGACGTTTTGGTGTGTGGTAGTTCAAATGTATCATTCTTAAAACTCCTTAATTAGATGATAATTAGCAATAATAGGCATTTATTGTGATAAAGTAAAATTAGTTTACTGCATAAAGTCGGTAGTTCAAATATATCAAATGTTAAATTTTATTAAAATTTTTAGGAAATTAAGTTAAAATTGTCTAAATTGCAAAACAAGCCAATTACGCCATTTTAAATTGTGGTAGTTCAAATGTATCACTTATAAAAATCCTTAATTAGCAATACTCATCATTTGTTTTGATTGAGTAAAAATAATTTCGTTAATTTACTGCAAATAAATCGGTAGTTCAAATGTACCGAATATTAAATTTGATTAAAATTATTAGGAATTTAAATTCAAAGAGCCTAAAATGCAAAACACGCTAATTTAAACGTTTTGGTGTGTGGTAGTTCAAATGTATCATTCTCAAAAATCCTTAATTAGGTGAATAATTAGCAATAACAGGCATCTATTTTGATTAAGTATTTATAGCAAACAAGTCGGTAGTTCAAATATATCAAATGTTAAATTTCATTAAAATTTCTAGGACATTAAGTAAAATAAATAGCAAAACAAGCTAATTAATGTGTTTTAGTTTGTGGTAGTTCAAATGTATCATTCCCAAAAATCCTTAATTAGCCATAATAGGTGTTTGTTTTGATTGAATAAAAATAATTTCGGTAATTTACTGCAAATAAATCAGTAGTTCAAATGTACCGGATGTTAAATCTTAATAGGTTATTAAATTTAAATTGCCTAAAATGCAAAACGAGCTAATTTAGACATTTTAGTGTAAAGTAGTTCAAATGTATAATTTCTAAAAATTCTTATTTAGCAATATTATGCATTTATTTTGATAAAGTAAAAATAAAGTCGAAAATACAAAATAAGTTAATTAAGGCGTTGTAGTTTATGGTAGTTCAAATGTACCATTCGTAAAAATCTTTAATTATATTAAGTACCTGTTTTCCTAAAGATTTCTGATTAGATTCTCGTCACCTGCCATCTATCAATTGAAATGTAGACATTTGTTATTTTTTAAGTTTATTACAAAAAAACTCAACGATGCGTAGCTACCTGTTCTTTGAACATTTTAATCATAAATAACCAATATCATTAAATATTTCTGACATATTATCAACTGTCAATTAATCCATCATTTGCCGCTTGTCATTTACAATTTTCAACGTTTTTTTTTTTTTTATTATTTGCGACACCCAGAGACCCGCTCTTTAACTATTCCAGCCACCATCTTAAGTTCAAAAGACCTACATCGCCGTTTCTTTGGCGATTCGCTCCAATTATCTGCGATTTTCATCCATCGCAACGTCGTATTTTCTAATAATACGTCCCTAAATTTCGGTAGGCACGCTTTACAGAATTTCTCGTACATATCCTCAAACGTGGCTGATCCGATGTTATCCCTTCGACGATGTCGTACACTGAGCAACAGGAAGCACCTGCGCTAAAATGCTGCAGTGTTCCGGCATACATGGTTGGAAACAAACGGCGCTCGCGTGACCCGAACGACCTGACGTCAACGGCTCGCCCATTTCCCAAACGTCCCTCGCCGGGTCGTAGATTTCCACGTCTGTCAAGAAATTGTGACCGTCATAGCCTCCTAGAAAGAAAAATTGATAAATAAGAACGGTTTTGCGACAAAAGTGTCAATATAAACGTTCCAAGTCACAGAACAGTAAATTATACAGAAATGATGGTTTTACGACAAACCTGTCAATATCAACGTCAAATCATAACGTTCTAAGACACAGAACAGTAAATTTTACAGAAATGATGTATTTGAGACAAACGTGTCAGTATCAAGGTCAAATTTTAACATTCCGAGGCACAGAACAGTCATTTATACAAAAACGATAGTTTTGTGACAAACGTATCAATATCAATGTCAAATAATAAAGTTCCAAGATAAAGAATAGTAAATTATACAGAAAAGATGGTTTTGTGACAAACGTGCCAATAACGACATCAAATATTAACGTTCCAAGACACAGAACAGTAAATTACACAGAAAGTTTTGTGATAAACGTGTCAAAACTAACATAACATCTTAACGTTTAGAGACACAATACAATAAATTATACAGAAAGGATGGTACTGCAAAGAAAATTAACTTACCCATGGCGAAAATCTTGCAATCTAGTACCGTAACGCTCAGAGCGCTCCTTGAGATTCTCATGGGACTCACGAATTCCCAAATATCACGTTCAGTGTCATAGCGTTCCACGCAACAAAGCTGCTTCTTGCCATCGTATCCCCCGATCACGTAGATGAACTGATTGATGGCGGCGACACCTGAAAACAACGTTCAATCTGTCAATGTCAGCTGTCAAATGTATTCGACTGCTTTGTCAACCGACCTGCTCCGCTACGCGATACGTTCATCGGCGCTATCATGGTCCATTCGTTGTTTTCCGGATGGTAGCACTCGGCGCTTCGATGTCTTTCGACGCCATCGTAGCCTCCTAGTGCGTATAATAATCTGCAAACAACCGCTACGCCGACGGCTAGTCTTTTGTAGTGCATCTGCGTCACCGGAGTCCATCTATCAATCTCTGGGTCGTATCTGAAATGAACATTTTTTTGTACCGTCTTTTATCATAGATGTACGCGTAAAGGTGTCAAAAATAATTAGCCCCACGTTGGGCGCCAAAAAATAAAGGGACCCATAAATTATTAATCCAAAGTTGCCGCTCATTGAACGCCTCGTCTTTATGTCCTATGTTCTAAATTAAAGCATTTTAGGCATTAGTTTGAGAATATTAATAAAAAATTAAATGCAAAAAGTTATTTTTATTCTTGTAATAATATGTGGTATTTCCGAATAGCACACAAAAAACCATTAATTGAAACAATTGGTAATTATTCTTTTAATTGCTTCTTTTGTTAAATTTATTGTCAAATTAAGTTCGAATGTACCGAATGTTAAGTTTAATTAAAATTGCTTGGAAATTAAATTCAAATGATCTGAAATACAAAACAAATATATGCGTTTTAGTTTGTGGTAGTTCAAATGTGTCGCTCCTAAAAATCCGTAAATAGTAATAATCACCGTTTATTTTGATTGGAGAAAAATAGCTTCGTTAAATTTACAGCAACCAAATCGGCAGTTTAAATGTACCGGACGTTAAATTTTAATAAAATTAATATAAAAGTCTAAAATGGAAAAACAAGCTAATGGAAAAACAAGCTAATTAAGGTGTTTTGATTGGTGGTAGTTCAAATGTACCACTCCTAAAAATCCTTAATTAACAATAATAGGCATTTATTTTGACTGAGTAAAAATAATTTCGTTAAATTTACTAACAATAAATCAGTCACACAACAATTGTCAAATGTCACAAACGTCAACAGTAACTATTTACTTACCGTTCGACGCTATTGTGGTATTTATTGCCTTCACTGCCTCCGACGGCATACAAAAGTCCGTCCATAACCGCTACTCCCACTCTATTTCTCGGTACCGACATCGGACTGCAAGGTCGCCAATTATCTTTGATCGGGTTGTACTTATCCACCCAATCGGAGTCGTAACTGTTACCCGGACTGTTGTTTCTACCGCCCACTGCGTAAAAAATACCCTAAAATGTAAATCTTTTACTTCTCTCATAGTTAACACGATTACATATAAAAATATAGATGTTAAGAGTCACATATGTCAATGTCATCATTCAAAACTGTCAAACGTCAGTTATTTGTCAAACATTAAAGGCAATTATAATTATACAAAGCCATTGGTAGTACCTTTAAAAAAGCGCCGCCAAGTCCGGATCTGGGTACTGTTAGCCTAGCTAGTTTATACCAGACTTTTTCGTCGACGTTGTAACCTTCGAGAATGTCTAAAGATTGTCTAAAGTAACCGCCCGCAATATATATCACTCTCGGAATATTCGGACATCTTTCTTTTATGTCCTCCATCTTGACGTGCAACGTCAAATCCTGTAATGCAAAAATTTAAATTTAACTGTCGAATGGTAAAATTAATTATTTAATATGTGAACCAAAACATTTAGGCAAACGTTATGCAATACCCGGTACTTCATTAACAAAGAGATTGAACAGGATTGGATCTGTATGTGAACTTTGAGGAACACCTGAGGATAAAACGTTAGAAGAGGAAACGCAACAAAGAAGAGAGTCAAAAATAGAAATATTAAATAATAAAAATACCTTAAATATCCTAGCTAAATACTCCTTGCAAGCGGGAGTCTTCTTGATCACCTCACAATTGGTCATTTGGTCGTTCAAAAACTGCGGAGGTAGAAATTGACATCTGACAGCGCTCAAAATCGGTTCCATCTTTTGATGTCTATGTTCCTCGTCGTATTTAACCCATTTCAATACGGCATTGTAAACTTCCTTCTCGTCCTGTACGTTCAACTCGTCCTTTTTTATCAAATTGATCACCTGAAGCGTGGTTAATTGCAGAAATTCTTCCTCTCTGCATATCTAAAACATACGCGACATCACCGTCAGCTGTCAATTGTCACTCGTCTCTTTCACTCGTCTGTCAACTGCCAGTTGTCAAAATATTTACATGTTCGATTGTTGAATACGTGCGCAATTACCTGACAGAAGTGTTGTTCGATATACTGATTGGCCTTTTTGCATAACTCAATGCAGCCATGTTGTTCCGCAAACGAAGCGATACCTATAGCGTTGCTCGGGTCTAATTGTCGCTCTAAAAAATCGCAGCACGCTTGAATAACGTTCGGAACCTACAATATAAACCTTTCAATTATTCCATATACACTTTTTTTTCGTTTAATGTACCTGTAGCATAGTAGCGGCGGGTAACAATTGACAAACGGTATTTTCTGTGACCCTGATCCGTCCCGTATACATGAAGTGTATCAGCCTGGCGAGGGCCGTCGGGGAGACGCCCTGCAATTTGATTCTGTCCATGTCGCACTCCTTGAGACCTCCTGTAAACATGGCTTTGAAATAAGGACTGGCCGCGGCTAAAACTACTTTGTGCGCGTAAAACAGTTCTTTACCTACTTCCAGGACGACGTCTGTCAACATTTGATGGGCGCGCATCATGTCCATTGCCTGAAAAGTTAGGTTACTTTGAAGGTGTATGATAAAAATAAAACGTCGAAATATAAATTTTGGCTAATATGAAGGGTAACTCCCATAAAGATTCGGCATTTAAATTATTCTTACTTTCATCGCTTCCTTGAGATAATCAACAATCATAAACGACATCTCCCCTATTTCGGAATTTGTACTGGACGAGCTCTTCAGGTTAGACCGGGAGTGGTACGTATAGAAATCCTCTTCGCCGTCCATTATAGAACTGAAACAAATACAATCATGTTATAAAAGATACGAGACGATGATAATCGAGAGTGATCAGAATGAAAATGTCAAGAAATAAAATAAACCTTGAATAATAGCGAACTTTAAGAGAAGATAATATATTGTAGAGGTCACATTGATATTTTGAATTTACCACCACATTTAAGTTGACAGCGTCTACACCTTTGAGATATAAGGTCTTTTCCTTTGCATCGAAAGTGTAGCACTCAGCTACGTCACTTCTGAAAATATCGTTCCATCCATACAATTTGTATATATGGAACGATATTTTCAGAATTGGTGTAGCCCAGTGCTACACTTTCGATGCAAAGGAAAAGACCTATAATGAAGTAGAGACTGTTTTGCGATACGACAGATGGACACACTTTGTGGTGCCAACACATACTTTGATTGATTTTCTTTTACTATACGGAGAATGGTCGCACTGCGCAGCTTTCTGAGTGCCTTTTAAAAGGAGATAGAAAACTCCGCCATTTTGAACACTTATTACGTGTTGCCTACATCTTGGCGCAATATTTTTAATAGGTGCGTTTCAATCATCCTCTTCTGCTTCGGAATTGTCAGTTTTCTTGTTTTAATCTGACAGGTTAAAACGACTAAACCGACAATTCCGGAAAAAAAGCGGATGATTAAAACGCACCTGATATTTTGCTTGCTGCTGTCAGTGTCAGTGAATATTATTTTTGAAGTCACAGTTTATTGCTAAAGAATCAGTTAGCTCACTCGGACCAGTTGAAAGTTCCAAAATAACATCCACTCCAGGGATACAAATTCAGGATACGCAGAAGACTGCTGTTTTATTATAGGCGGTTGTCATATATTGTATTATCCGAGTTGCACAGTGTATAAACTGAAACATTGAGATCCAAAGTGCCGACGCAGAGTGAGCGATCTGATTCTTTAGCTGTAAACTGTGTCACAGGGTTCAAAATGGCCGCGCCCTATGTTGGGCGTGTCGGACCTCTCTCTTGCCTCGTATAGTAATCAAAGTATGTGGGTGCCAAGAACACCATAAATTACATTTTACAAGTGTTTCATCTCTTTTTGAAATATGGCACCAAACAGTGCATAGTACTAAAAAATCCATCAGGGATCGGTAGATGAGGTACCGCAAATGAAAACAAATAATGACTGCGAACTGTCAGAAAAATTCAGTTAATTTTATCTTTATCAATTAAAAAATACGTCTGTATCCAATTTTTATTTAAAATAATGATAATTTATTAATGTCTACTAATCATACTCTATGTAACAAACGAAATGAAAAGTGGAAACAACGAGAAGAAAAATACTACCACATACCTATAATAATAACCACCCATTTCACCAAAACAAAGTGAGGACATTACTATTTTTCATTATTTTTATAGTGTTCGAGACAACAATAATTAAATAAAGAAAATAGTGTGTATTCTTTCTTACAAAATTGTAAATATTGTGCAAATGGATTTTAAAAAAATAAGTGTTAAGTGATACTTTGATGTTATGTTTAAAGACAGCTCGAGTTTGACATATGACGTAAAAGGTGTAAAGCAAAGGAAACAACATTTGAAAACATTGTAAAGAATTGTCCAGATACCAACGGTAGAGAATATCAAAATCTAGCTGCATTTTATAGGCATCTTCAAGTTTCAAAGTTTTACTATACAATTTTAAGTCGTCAGCAAAGAAAAGATGTAAACATTCCAAAAATAAATGAAAGATCATTAATAAATCTAAGGAATAACAGTGGTTCTAAGTTGGATCATTGTGGTACACCTAAAAGTGGCTTCATGTACTTATGATCGAAAATCTAAATCCACCGTACTGTAGAAATTGAGCGCGTCCAAGTTGTTCTATAACAGAGAAAGTAGAGGCAGTGACAGTTCCAACCGCTCTAATTTTTCAGAAATGTCAACCAGAGTAGTGTTAGTTTTGGACTGAGTAACCCATATTTCCGGTTAATAACGGACCATACCCTAAAATTGCAAAGCATAGCTATGGATCTATAGCATTTTTAAATACCGGGCAAATTTTTGCGGTCTTCCATATTGCTAGATATGAATTAGATTTTAGAATTATAATTTAAGATATCTGTAATGGTTTATGTAGAACGTTCATGCAATCCTTGACGAGGACGTTCGGAATGTTATCACAACCGGACGTCATTTTGTTTTTCAGTTTCTGTGAAGCAATAATTACAACAATTTTTGATATACTATCCAAAGTTATATAAGAATTATCAACTGTATCCGGTGTAATTGAAAGATTAACAGTTAGAATGTAAGAAAAAGCTAGAAAAAGAAATTGCCAAGATATTTACGATTGATTGAGGATCAAAAACGTCAAATTCATATTATTATATCAAACGTCCCAGTATTCCTGATTTACCAAGTTTTAAATATTTTCGTAATTTTTATTAGTCCAGTAACTGAAGAACTGAAAATATGCAAAGCTGTCATTATTAAGTCGGTCCAGATTTCCTTTGTGGCTCAATTCTTAGGTCTTGACGGTTGCTTTCAAGGGCGAAAACTTTTACCAACACTGCTGGGTCAGAAAGGGCTCAAAATAGCCCCTAAAGTTCGAAAAAATGGTTTCCCGCTAATATCTACCAAAATATACAAATTAGACAATTTTTGTTTAGATAAAAAATGAAGATCGTATCATTATCTACAAAACGAATATTTTTTGCAAAAACGAACGGCCTTCGAAAAAGCCCGGATTTTTGCACTGAATAGAAATGTTAGTTTCTCACTGAATTTCCGCTCGAGGGAGTTGGGAATACATTGATTTTCATGTTTTAGACTTTGGAGACCAATTGTAGATGGCGCCAGCGGCATACCTCTGCTCACTAAATTATGGGGCCTATGAATGGAAATCCGGGCACCAATCGATCTATCGACAATTATTGGCGGATTCTACGGGAATTTTTCTGTAAAGTAGCGCTTGGGGTATCTCATCTATATTGCCGAATGTTCTGTGTAATTTGCGTTGCAAAATTTAATAGAAAAGTGCAAAATATTTTTTTTTTCATGTGGCAGTCTCAAATCCCGGCGCTGTGCCTAATAGTGAGTTACTAGTTTTAGAGTGTGATGAATATTGACCCGAGAAGACCCGTTATATTTTCTGCGTCTTTTGCAAAATTTTCGCCAACTTCTATCGGAACAATATAGGTCCAGGATTTCAGAAAAATAAGAAAGTTTCTGAAAAATTTCTTTTATTATGGAAAATGTTGAAAATACGAAATACATAGCAATGCTTATAATTTATCATACGTTAAACCATTCAATGTCATCAGAATCATACTCTTCATCGTCTTGTTCTTGCTCTATTCCTTCCCCTCCTCCACGCGTCCCTTCCCCCTGTTTTTCCAACCCCTGTGTTGCTGTCTCGACAGCTATTTCATCCTCCTCCCCTTCAACCCCTTCTGGGTCTCGATCCATCTCTAATTCTTCCGGGAAAATACCTTTATTTTTGTTATAATTAAAACACTGTGTCGACTGACACGAACCACAGACAGGCGAGCATTTCAGTCCGGCTTTCAAACATGAACAATTCTTCTCTCTGACAAAAAATTATCTTCAAGAGTTCCGGGGGGGGGGGGGGGGCGTATCCCTTGTGGTCTGCACCGGTAGCAGTACATCTTCTGCACGTTTCCATCCCCATTCCTCTGGTGGCAGTTCGTTTCCAAGCCATTTCTGCACTTGTAAATATACCCTATAAAAGTGCTGCCTAGCAGCTTCTTGGGTAGGGGGTAAGCATTCTAGTTTTATCGCAGTCTTGTTTTGGGCCAAGTTGTTGAAAGTCTTGTATCGGAGGGCCTGGAGAGTTGTCACCTCTTTTGGAGATTTGTAAATCGACATCAAAACAGTTTCTCCGTTCTTGAATACAGTCTCATGAGAAAGGCTCTGATTTTGAAAACATTCAATGGCTGTTTTGAGTTCACTGGACTGACCTTCTCCTGCCAATTTAGACAAATTTGCCACTACTGACATTTTTCCTTTTCTGAAAAAAGCAGAGGTAGTATCGCTAGCAGTCATTGCATGTAAAAACAGAATGTTATCTTTCATGAAAGGCTCCCGGAAGAAAATAGCTGTTCGGGCTTGTTTCCTTTGGCAGCTTTTAAAAAATAAATTTTCCGATCTCTTGGGGCCAAGGCTGTTAATAATGCTAGTACATCAATGTCCTCTGACTACGTCGAATTTTTCACTTTAAAAACTTCTTTTCTTTTTTAACAACTTAATTGATAATGATAAAATACTATCAATATTTTTCTAAAATACTATCAATAATACCGACAATAACGACTCCAAAAACAACAGAGATTGTATACCAACAAAAGCAGACGATTAAGGTGAGTGCGTGGCGCGTGGGTACACGTGGTTAGGTTATGATGGAATATCATGGATCTCAGGCGGAGAGCGTAAAAATGGGGGAGATAATTGTAACAGTTAAGAACCACGCTCACATACGAGGATCAATTGATAGAAATGGAAAGGTGAGAATATCAGCTTCACTTCGGTCTGGGTATTAATGTTCAAAAAATAAACAGCGGGGAACAAGAAGTATTTAAAAAAAAAGTCCGGTTTTCCCCGGTGTGATCAATTTTCCCGATTTCTGGAAAATGGAGCAACTTAATTAAAAAAAAAATACATTCGAAAAGTAGACACTCTAAGCTTTAAAATGGTGTGCATTGAATAACAATATAATGAAATATGAGTTTTTAATTACTGCTTGTTTCAAAGATTTCTAGAACTCCGAAAACGTATGAAAAATGCAAATAAACAAATCAATTTTGTTTTAAAACGCCAGAAAGATACTGGAAAAAAATTTCTGAGATCATTCGAGACATCTCAAGATCCCATTTAAAACAAAAATGGGATAAAAAACTAATAAAAGATAAAAAATATGAATGAATTACTATAAAGTGGTCCAAAATAGTGGGAAAACGCAACTTTGACCCCCTTTTCCAATGTTCTTGACAGGAAATAACGGGCT